CTAGCAAGTGGATCAGTGGATAAAACATTTCCCAACAAGCTTCATGAAATGAATTTGATCCCCAGAATCCATGGTGGAAGGAAAGAAATTATTCCTGGAAATTGTCTTCTGACTGCCACAGGGATACCATGGATTGTGAGCTTATACATTCATACACACACATGTGCATAGACATAGTAATAACAAGTAAACAGTAAAAACATGTTAGTTGAGTCACATGGCTTTGTGAGCTCCCCAACTATTGTGTTTGGGTTTTTTTGTTTTTGTTTTTCCAAGCCTCACCTGAGATGGAGCAATAGCATTAATTGGTAGCAGGGACTGAGCAGGATTATGGTGGCTAGGGATCTCAACAGGTGTTGCCTTCCATGTTAAGATGTCTCTTACCAGCCGGGCGGTGGTGGCACATGCCTTTAATCCAAGCACTCAGGAGGCAGAGCCAGGCGGATCTCCAAAGTGAGATCCAGGACAGGCACCAAAACTACACAGAGAAACCCTGTCTCGAAAAACCAAAAAAAAAAAAAAGAAAAAAGAAAAGAAAAGAAAAAAAAAGATGTCTCTTGCCAGGCATGATGGTGTAAGGCCTTTAATCTCAGCATTCAGGCAGCAAGAGGCAGGCAGATCTCTGAGTTCCAGGCCAGCCAGGAACATAGTAAGATCCTCTCTCAAAAACAATTGAAAAAAACTAACAATAATAATAAAAAAGGTATGTCACTTAAAATTGAGTGTGGTTGGCTAGCTGGGGTGGAGACTGTAAGTCTTCAGAACCAGGCCTGAGCTATACAGCAATGAAGCCTAAGCCACTGTGAGGGCTTCTGGCACTCAGGCAGTTCTCCCTTCTCTCTTGGGATCCTAGTAGAGCATAGACCAGGAGATGCTCAGGTTCTGCTTAGTCCTGCATTGGGTGTTGGGTGTTTTTCCAGACTAAATAGGCTGTCTATTCTTTCTTAAGCCTCCATAGGTCCCAGGCCATTTTAAAGGGCTACAGTTGCCTGGCAGTGGTGGCGCACGCCTTTAATCCCAGGACTCGGGAGACAAAGGCAGGCGGATCTCTGTGAGTTCAAGGCTAGCCTGGTCTACAAAGCAAGTTCCAGGAAAGGCGCAAAGCTACACAGAGAAACCCTGTCTGCAAAAACCAAAAACCAAAACCCAAAAAACAAAAAGGCTACAGTTTATATTTTATAGAGAGACTTGTTTAAAAAGAGGCCATGGTGGCTACTCACAACTGCCTGTAACTCCAGCTCCAAGGGATCTGACATCTGGCCCCTGTGAACACCTGCATACATGCAGATACCCACACATAATTTAAAAAAGAAGACATTGTAAGTGTTCCAAACAGTTACCTGTAACTTCACACCACCTTCTCTATGCATTTCACTAATTTATTTATATCCACAAACCTAGACTCAGGGCACACCAGTGTGCTACTGTTTCAACTCACAGATAAACTTTGTTGTTAAAAGTTCAGTTAAATCCATTTCCCTCATTAATTATTTGAGGAGTCTTATTAAGAACTGGCCAAAATTAAATCTATAAAGTCAGTTTGTTTTATGTGATGGTTTCAGTGAGCTTAGAGACAGAAACTTGTTCTAGTATGGAACTAAAAATAGATACCGTGTGTGTGCATGTGAGTGCTGGGGATTGAGCCCAAGGCCTCCCCTATGCTACAAAAGGGTTCTGCCACTGAGCTCCAGCCCTAAAAAGTAGCTAAAGGTAACCAGTAGAGCCGGGCAGTGGTGGCACATGCTTTTAAGCCCAGCACTCAGGAGGCAGAGCCAGGCAGATCTCTGTGAGTTTGAGGCCAGCCTGAGCTATAGAGTGAGTTCCAGGACAGGCTCCAAAGCTACACAGAGAAACCCTGTCTCGAAAAACCAAAAAAAAAAAAAAAAAAAAAAAAAAAAAAAAAAAAAAAAAGACTAAGAGAAAAGAGCCAGCAGCAAGCTTAGTCAAGTGGCCTGTCACTCTGTGCTCCAACATTACCTGTTCTTGCTCCTTTTGTATGTTTGGAAACAGCTCACCGTGTAGCCCTGACTGACCTGGAACTCACTATGTAGACCAGCCTGGCCTTGAACTCAGATCCACGTGAGTACAGGGATTAAAGGCATGAACTGCTGCACACTTTTCCATTTTTTTTTTAATCAAGGCCCTGGGATAGAATGCTCTGAAGATCAATATTTGGTAGTAGGAACAGTTACTACTTTCATAGTCTGATTTAAAATATAAAACCAAGCTGAGGATTAGCTCAGTGGAAGAGAATTTGCCAACCTTGGGGAAAAAACAAGCAAGCAAGCAAACAAAAACCCACTTAACCTACAAAATCAAAGGTGTTTCTCCCGGGAAACCCTCTCACTCTCCACAGTTCATCATCACTTTTTTAAGTCTTTTTTAAAATCAATCTATTTGCCCTAGAAAAAAAAAGAAAAATAAAATTAAAAAAAAAGCGACCAAAACCGTAAAGCCTTAAGTGTGATTTGTGTTAGATAAAAGAAATATTTGAAACCTGACTCCAAGTGTGTTGCTTACCTTCAAGACATTTCTAAATAGTAGACGGACATGAAGTGAAAATCTATTCTCTCACTTTAGCTGGCAGGATTTATATTTTAAATTTAAACACGATCAATGAACATAATATTTGCAGGGACAGGAGAGACGGCTTAGTGGTTAAGACCACTTATTGTACTTGCAGAGGATCCAGGCTCAGTTCCTAGCACCTAGGTGATGGCTCATAGTCAAGTGTAACTCCATTTCCAGGGCATCCAACACCTGGCCTCAACAGGCATTGCACACACATGTTCAAATCCACATTCCAACACACATGTATACACATAATTAAATATAAAAACATAGGCCTAGAGGTGGTGGTGCACTCCTTTAATTCCAGCACGTCGGAGGATCTCTGTGAGCTCGAGGCCAGCCTGGTCTACAAAACAAGTTCCAGGACAGGCTCCAAAGCTACACAAAGAAACCCTGTCTCGGAAAACAAACAAACAAACAAACAAACAAACAAAAATATAGAATAATAAAAAAACTTAAAAGCACAAATAAGCTGGGCGGTGGTGGTGGTGGTGGTGGTGGTGGTGGTGGTGCACGCCTTTAATCCCAGCACTCGGGAGGCAGAGCCAGGCGGATCTCTTTGAGTTCTAGGCCAGCCTGGTCTACAGGGTAAGATCCAGAATAGGCACCAAAAACACACTGAGCAACCCTGTCTTGAAAAACAAAAACAAAATAAAACAAAAAAACCCACAAATAAGTAGCTATTAAATCTGTCCAGCAAGAGGCTCAGTGAATATAAGCATATGTCATGCTGGCCTGACATCCTGAGTTCAGTTTCTGGAACCCACAGTGGAAGGAGAGACTCAGCTTCCAAAGAGTATTTTCTGACCTCAAACACACACAAGATAGTAAAATAACTGTTAAAATTTTGTTTTATAACTTGAAAAACAATTTCAACTTTATAATTAGTTGGAGGAAAATGTAAAGTTGTGCTAAATGTTTATACAGTGTATTTTAATCCTTGCCTTAAATAAAATATGTCACTAATATAAATTACTACAGATTCAAAGTCCTAATTTGGTTCCTGTCTTTAGGACAGAGTCTTTGGGACTTTCACAGAGTAGGTGTCTCACACAGAATAGGTCTGCTTGACACACCAGAAGAGGTGTCTGCCTTAAGAATTCATGACTTCATGGGCATCTGTCTTCCTGCTTTGAGGTTTCCTGTCCCTTCTCCTGGGTTCCAGCTCATTTTGTACTGAGGAAACAGAACGTGGGACTGCAGAAGTCCGTCTTGCCTTTGCGATGGTGCTCTTATGTTAAATCATAGATTCATTTGGAATGGGATGGGGTGGGTGAATGTGGGAAAGTAACAATGGAATTTATGTCCACTTCTTGTAACAATATGCTAAAAACTTGTCCTAGGACTAAGCTAGTTTGTCTTTTTAGGTAAAGTGACTTGTTTTGGAGAGCACCATTAGACAGGGAAAGGACTTCTGTTAGCTAACAACCTGTTAACTGTCTCCCTAAGATACAGTTAGAGCAGTAACAGAATAGGAATAACCATAGTCATTTAGGGCTTTGTACAGGTCAAATCCCGTTACAGCAAATTTCATAGGATGTGCAAATTCCTTATTTGTCCCAATCTTCTACAGAGTATTACTATGTAATTATCAGACCAAGGAACTTGTTTTATTTGTAACTTTCCTTGAAGGAAAAACAAAGCACAGAGACATTTAGGTCAATTTGTTCTCCTGATTCACAAGCAGCCAGTTCCCCCATTTGGGGGCATGGACAGCTAGTCAGCTTTCAGGCACTAGGTTACTCCCTGAAGACGTTTGCCATGTACAGCACAGCACAGTGCTTGCTTGCCCATACCAGCCACAGCAAGAAGCACCAGGATTTTCTTTGTGCTTTGGAAGAACACTAACAATAAAAAATGGAGCCCCTCCTTCATTGAGAACCTGTAGATTCCTTGAGATAGACTGCTGTGTGAGTCAGGCAATGGTGCCAGTGCCAGAGTGTTGGGTATGAGCAGCTGTAACACTCTCTGACACTTGAGTCACTCTCAGCCAAGAGCAGGGGTTATTGTTACACTTTGTTTTTGTCCTCTCATTGTAACGGGATTTCACCTGTACCATCTAGATGTTCATCAGAGAAATGCAGATTACACAAATGAAAATGTCACACCCTGTTTGTACTGACCGCCCTCTTTCAAATGTACTCACCCGCATGTTATGTTTACCATTGCATATGTGTGAATACGAGCGTTAGGAACCTTTTGCAGGTAGCTTTATGAACATGGGTGTTTATTTTGTCTGCTTTAATAAAGAAGTAAGAAATGTACTTTTTTATACCAAGCACATTAAGATATCTGTGGAATGTTATTTGGTATATGATGGTGAGAGCAGTTGCTATAAATCACAGGGTGTTTTGAATGCTGCTAGAGTAGCCAGTGTTGCTTAACGTGGCGTTTTTTTTTCCTGTCCACACTTTCCACCCTTGGTACAGGTGTTTTTGATAAAGCTGTGGAATGGCAAGGTATGTTTTTTATGGGATGTTCAAGAATCTGTTAGCTTAAAATTCTTTTACAGAGGTTTCCTTTACAGGATTCCTTTTGAGTTTGGCTCAAGTAAACCTGATGTAATTGTAACATAACAGTTTTGAAGGCAGCTGAGTGTACAATTTTGACACAACCCTTAAATTTCTGGTTTTATTTTTTCCCTTACCCTTACCAAAGGACATTGTTTTGGTTTTAAAGCACTCGGGGTGGGGGTGGCTTGGAAATATGTGACCTGTAAGAAGTAGCCCAGGCTCTATGCCGGTCAATGGTCCAGTATTTTGTTATTGTTAGAAGCTTGGTTGCCAGTAATTTTCAATTTCAAGAGGAAAGTGATGTAAAAGTAGCTCCTAATATATCAGTTATCAGATAATCCTAGCATTTTGTTCCATGCAGTCCTCTGTTTGCTAGAGGAACAGTTGAGATTGAACTTGGACTAGTTGGAGTGAAGAGCTGGTGGCAGATGTGCAGAGCTCACACTAACTTTCTGCCTGCTTAGTGTTTTCCTCTGTCCACATTGTCTGCTGCCTGCAGCCCTCCACAGGCATGTTGACATTCCTGTTTTGCAGGTTCCCTTGAGAGAACCACATAGCTAATTCAGGCAGAGCTTTAGAAGGCTCCATTAGAAGGGAGCACTCTCTAGTGACTTTCCTCTAATAATGAAATTGTGAAAGGTACATGGGGATGGTCACCAGCAGCACATCCCTTTCCTTGTAGAAAGATGAAGCACTTTGAAGGTGTTGGTACAAGTGCTGGAGACTGCTGGTGCCTTTAGACTACGCCGGTCACCTGGGGGGCCAAAAAGCCCTTTGTTAAAGAGCTGAGGTGTTTTGTGAACACCCATTCTGTGGTTGCAAAGTTAGTGTCTGCTCAGTGTGCTCCATCTCACCGGAAGTGTTTGCTTTTTCTCATTCATAGAGGTCCTGTAATAAAGAGGGATCCGAACAAGCTCAGAATGAAAATGAATTTCAAGTAAGTAACTGAGTCCATTCTCATCTGCATGAGCTGTAAACTGGTGGTGTCCAGCCTCTCCAAATTGTGGTTGTCAGGCTTGGTCTCTATCCGTGGAGACTTCTGATCTTTGATCTTTCTCAAAAGAATGCCTTTGGACCAGTTGGAGCCAGTTCACTGAGGCTGAGCCACAAGGGGCTTCCAGACTCCTGAGGGTAAGGAGTCAAATTGTCTGTGGTGGCCATTTCTAAGCAGTGTTTGAGATGCTGAGAGATGCAGACTTAGGAAATAATCTCTGATACTCTGATGTGGAAGCACCTGGCTTCTCTGGCAGTGTCTCACCACTTCCAGATGTTCCCGCGCCATCGTTCGGAAGCAGATCACTGCCTAGCTGTCTCGCTGGCACTCTTCCTTTGAGGAAATGGCAGTGCTTGTTCTGGGTATGGTAGCCAGGTTGGAAAGGCTTCTTCCCAGATTCTGAAAAATGGGCATTCAAGGGAACTTTGAGACTCTAGGTATGGAGTAGTGGAGAGTGGGCACCTTGTGAAGATTCTCTTGTGTGTTTAGGCTTATAGAAAGAGGTTCTTGTGTGCATAAGATGGTCAGTGTGACATAGCCAGCTGGCCACCCCTAGGAGCTTCTGAACTGGGAGGTGGTGCTTCCTGCTTCCCCTGTTAGGTCGCAGCTGCAGTAGCAACCCAGTAGCAGAGTCCCCCATCCCAGCAGTACCCTGCTTTGCCTGCTGGCACCACATTCTTGTTCATTCCTCCCTTGGGTTTCAAATGCCATCCTCAAAGACAGTCCCAGCTGCCCCTCCCCTTCCTTCTCAGGGTCTGCTCCTCAGGGAATCTGACTTTACCTGTGATCTTTGGGGGTCGGTGTGCACACAGTTGGTTACTGAGTATGAAGGAGTTGGTTTCCATTTCTCATTGAGTCCCTTTAACATCTTCCTTCCTTGGTGAGATAACAGCAGGTAGAGGTGCTTGTTGTCAAGTCTGGCCACCTATGTTCTGTCCCCAGAACCCACATGGTAGAAGGCGAGAACCAACTCCTACAAATTGTCCTCTGACCTCCACATGTGCATGCACACACATAGAAGCACATGCATACATAAATGCAAAAATAATTGTCCTCTTCTGACTATTGCTCAGGTCCCACAGGCCTTTCCCTCATGCCCTCTGTAAAGGAGGACGTTTTCTATCCAGCCGCTCACAGGTAGGGCTGCTCTCTCTGCTTCTTCCATCTTGCATCCAAACATTTACCAACAGAAATCCCAGCCCTCTAAGACTCACATGCTGCTCCCCTCCCATTCACCCTGGTCTTTGGGCTGTCTGCTTCTTGCCTTCCTTGTGTCAAGGTTCTACAACAACCTGTTGGAGTCCATTCCTTCTCCTGGCATCTTTCTGTGGTTCAGATAGTATTCTGTTCTCCACTGCATCCCTCCTGAACTATCCAGTCTTTCCTTCTGCTGTCCTCTCCAGTAAGTGTGCCCTGACTGTCTCCAGAAGGTGATAGGACCCTCTTGGTCGTGTAGGGCTTCAGCAGTCCACCTCTGCTAACCTCCCAGCTTACTTTGGCTTCTTGGAGATCTGTAGTCCAGAGATTGCTGCTACCTTCTTACTCCATCAGCACTCCTGATCACCCAACTGTGCTTCTAAGACCTTCTCCTCCATATATCCTCAGTTCTTTCTTCCACTTATCTCTTCTGTGCTTACCTTTAACACCTGCCATGCTGAACCTAAGCACCTCAATGCTTGCTTGCGTTGTACTGCACCCACAACCCCTGAGCTGTGGAACTCTAGAGAATCACACAGTTGGGAGAGCTGCTGCTCCACCTCAGGAGTGCTTGCTGTATGGCAGCCTGCAGAACTTCACCCTTAGGTTTGCCTTTGGGTTCTAAGGGCTGTTTCAGATATCTGTTTTCTCTTCCAGCTTTCCTGTCCCTACCCTAGGCACGCAGTATGAAGCTCATTCTTCAGCTGCTCATCCCTTATCTGACATCTACTCCAAGCCCTATTCTGTGCCGTCTTTTCCACTGGCTGCCCCTGTGAGGAAATCTTTCTCTTGCATTCAGCATGTCCACTCCTCTTGTTCTTTCGGCTTCACTTCTCAGCCTGTTGTCCTCCTCAATTCCTTCTACATACAGGGAGCCAGGTGCTCTTCTGGATGTCCTTTCCACCTCAGTACAATGAGGCCAGCCTGTGCTACAGAGTGAGCTCCAGGACAGGCTCCAAAGCTACACAGAGAAACCCTGTCTGGAAAAACCAAAACAAAACTGATTTACTCCTGTAATTTCAGTACTTGGAGGCTGAAACAGAAAGATTACTGTGAGTTGAGGTCAACCTGGGCTGTGGAGTGAGATCTTATCTAAAAATCCTAAAACTTCCCCCACCTCTGTTTGTGCTAGGGTTTGAACTCAGGACCTCCCTGTCTCTAGGTGGGAATGGCAGCATATGACTGCAACACCAGCGCTTGAGGGGCTCAGGCAGATCATAAATTCAAGGCCAGGGTTATGTAGACCCCATTTCAATCAAACAGAAGATGGATCTGGTAGCACAGGCCTGCAGTCTCAGTTACTTGGAAGGCTGAGGCAGGAGAATCACAAGTTGGCCTACAGAGAGAGTTCAAGGCCAGCCTGGGCAATTTAGTGAGATCCTGCTTCACAATAAAAGGTGAAAAGCAGAAGGCTGGAGAGATGACTCAGAGGTTAAGAGCACTGGCTACAGAGGACCTGAAGTTTGCTTCCCATCACCCACATGGTAGCTCACAATCAGCTGTAACTCCAGAGGATCTGACACCCTTTTCTGACATCTGCAGGCAGTAGGCATACATAGGCACAGGCATACACAGAGAGAGGCACAATACCCACATATTAATAGGTAAATAAAACCACCCCCCACCCCCCACCCCACCCCACACACATAGGATTTCTCTATGTAACAGTCCTGGCTGTCCTGGAACTCACTCTGCAGACCAGGCTGTCTTCAAACTCAGAGATCCACCTGCCTCTGCCAACCTAGTGCTGGGATTAAAGGCGTGAGCCACCACTGCCCATCTAATAAATAAAAAAAAAAAATTAGAGGAAAAAGCAGGGTGGGGCTATAGCCTAGTGATAGAATGCTTACCAGACATTATGATAGCAAGTGCACACCACCATACCTGGCTTTTTCATCTAAGTTCTGGGGACCAACTTAGAGTGTCATGCATGCATGGTGAGCATTTGACCAGCTGGGTTCTCCTACAGAAGTGAAATTTTATCGATATAATGAAAAGTCTTAATGTGTTGCCATGCCCATCTAGGTATCCCTCTCTTCTGTTCACCCTTTCCTATCTAATACTTGTCCCCATCACTCCTCTGAAGCTCTTGTTTTTTTCACCAGCAACTACAGTGTGAAGTCCAGTGGCCACTTGGCTTTCCACTTTTTTTCCTGAGGGTCCTGTTTGACCCTCAGCAGCATCTGTAGCCCCTCCTTCCACAAAGGCAGCCATTTTACCTCCTCTTTTCCATTCTCTTCTTTCCACTGCCCAGCTTTGAGTCAGTGGTTTGCAAGTGGTAGGTAATAGGAAATGTTAGAGCTTTTGGTTCTTTGGGCTTTTTAGTAGACAACGTTTTGGTGTGTTGTCTAGGCTCTTAGTCTAGCAGAGGACTAGGGTGTGCATGTTGCACCCAGCTTGCTTTTTAAATGAGATGGATAGAAAATGTAAGGGAGCATTGTACAGTTGTGAGAATGAGTGTTGATAGGTATAATGTTCAGTTGTGTGTATTGCTGGGTAAATGCTATTTTTTTAGGGGGTGGCGGTTGGTTTTTTTTTTTTTTTTTTGAGACGGAGTTTTTTGTGTAACAGCTCTGGCTGTCTTGGAACTCCCTCTGTAGTTCAGGCTGGCCTCTAACTCATAGAGATCAGTGTGCTTCTACCTCCTGTAAATGCTGATATATAAAAAAGTATTTTTTACTCCTTTATAATTTCATGCATGTATATGATGTATCTTTAAAAAAATTTTCGCCGGGCGGTGGTGGCGCACGCCTTTAATCCCAGCACTCGGGAGGCAGAGGCAGGCGGATCTCTGTGAGTTCAAGGCCAGCCTGGGCTACAGCGCGAGATCCAGGAAAGGCGCAAAGCTACACAGAGAAACCCTGTCTCGAAAAAACCAAAAAAAAAAAAAAAAAATTTCAATTTTATGTCTATGCTTGCATGTATGTATGTGCATGTGCCCTGTGTGTGTGCCTTGTGCCCTCAGAAGTCAAGAGAGGGTGTTGAATTCTCTGTAACTAGAGTTAAAGATGATTGTGAGCTATCATGTGGGTGCTGGGAATCAAACCAAGGTCTCATACAAGAGCAACAAGTGCTCCATTCCCTATATAATGTATCTCAATTATGTTAACCCTTTATTCCCCTTCTACTCCTCCAGACCCCACCTATGTATGTCCTCTTTCCACCTTCTTGTCCTCTTGAGTCCAGTTAGTACCGACTTCATGCACTTGGATGTGGGCCATCCATTAGAGCATGGGGAACCAGGCAGGGCTCAACACTTGGATAAAATTGACTCTCCCTTCCCCAGGAACCATTAACTGCTAGTAACTGCTAACAACCCCTCAGCTGAGAGTGGGATCTTGTAAGCCCCTCCTCCTGGACTGGAATGTTGACTGGCTTGATCTTGTGCGGCCTTTTGTAGGTGAACACAGCTGCGTGAACTCATGAGCACAACAGCCATGTTATGTCACGAACACATTTTTTTACGACGTTCCTACTCACCACCTGGCATTATACTCTTTCTACCTCCTCTCCTTGATGTTTCCTGAGCCTTAGGGACTCTTACTTACCCGATTGCTGCAAGGCCATTGCTGTAGTGTGGGAGTTCTCAGGAACAGGCCAGTGTTTCTCTTGCTCTGGGAGTTTGCTCAGTGCATGAACTTTCAGTGTATGTTACTTAACATGGTCCTTTCTGGCCTGGGTGGTTGCCCTATTCTCGCTACAGCCACACTGCCTCACACTTCCTTCCCTGCCCCAGACTTCCTCCATCAGAACAGCTCATAGCTCATTTGTACCCTGCACTCTTGGGTCCTGGGTCAGTTCAGTGTTGTCTCTTTGGAAATCCCTGCCCTTTCATAACCTGTCTTTCCAGCCTTCTGTCCCTTCATGGCTTTGACTTTAGTCATTTCCTATTTCTCTCTGTGGTTTTGTACAGATGAGGCCTGATGGGGCTTATTCTTTGATTCCTTGACATTTAGCACTAGATATATACCAAATATTTTCTGGTGTTTGTTTGTTTGTTTTGTGTGTGGTTTTTCAAGACAAGGTTTCTCTGTGTAACAGTTCTGGCTGCCCTCGAATCAGCTTTGTAGACCAGGCTGGTCTCGAACTCTAAGAGATCCACCTGCCTCTGTCTCCTGAGTGCTGAGATTAAAAGTGTGTGCCACCACCGCCTGGCCACATTTTATGTTTTGAATGAATAAATGAAATTTTTTTTTTTTATTTCTGAAACCAAAGTAAATGGTTGAGGCATTGATTTCTCCAAAAAGTAGCACTAGCCAGTGGCTGACCCAGATGGCTGTGTGGAGGGGTGGGCTCTGGATCAAGCCCTGGTTCTGTCCACTGCTCACTTGCTTCAAGAAGCCACCAGGGAAAACCATCAGGGGCTTAGAAGTGCTTATGTCTCTGTCTTGGCACCATGTCTGTGTTTAGGCTGATGGGCTCTGCAGGAGTCTAGACAGAATTCTAATTCAGGTCTCAGCGACAGTGCTGTCATACACATACACAGGTGCTAAACTTGCTGAGCTTTAAATCTACACATGAGACCAGGTATTGTATTGTATTACTGCTTGCAGTCAAGGACTGGAGAAGTTGATACAGGGGGATTGGGAGTTTAAGAGTAGCCTGAACTATCATGGAAAGATTTTATCTCATAAACCAACCAGGAAAGGCTGGTAAGAATGCTCAGTGGATAAAGGCAACTTACCACTAAGCCTAATGACCTGAGTTCAGCCTCCAGTGCCCAAGTGGAAAGAGAAAACCAACTCCTGGAAGTCATCTTCTGATCTCCATATTGTGGCATGTGGGCAGCCACACCTGTGCAAGCTCACATTCTCTCTCTCTCTCTCTAATTTTTTTAAAAGTTGATAAAGTGCTTGCCCAGCATGTACAAAGCCGTGGATTCCATGTGCAGGCATTCATAAACTGGGCACGATGGTTCACACTTTATAATCCCAGGATTACGGAACTAGAGGAAGGAAGATCAGAAGTTCAGGTTAGCTATAACCAGTTCCAGATCAGTCTGCTACGTAAGACTTTCAACCCTCGAGATCGTTTTAGTCCCTCTGCAGGGTGGAAGGTTGGAAAACAAATTTTAATCATAACAAAGAAGGTTAGATTGGAAGTTAGAAAGTGGAGGTGTCGGGGGGAGTTCTACAGATGGCATATAGCTACAAGGAGCTGTACCTGCTAGATTGCCTGCTCTAGAACTTACCCCAGGATCCTCGTGTTCAGTTACGGTCAGGCTCTGCTTGCTTTTGCAGTTTCCACTGTAGGCGGCGCCGAGGAGACTGCTCCCAGCCCACAGGGGAGAGGACTACAGCAGAGGACACCTTGAGGGCCTTCGCTTGAGCTCCCCTGAGAGTCTCTGCAGTATCGGGCTTCAGGTCAGACAGGGCTGCAGTGACTATGCCTCCTAAGCCAATGTGTTAAGAGGGTCAGATGAGCAATGAAAATATTTCATCTGCTAAACAGAGGTATTTGGTGTTATCAAAAAGATATAAGTCCATGTAATACCTAATTCCTTAATCTGATCAAGTTAATATATGTATATTGTCAAATACACACACTTGAAATTAGTAAATTCAGATTGAACCTCAAAAGATATAATTAGACTAATACAGGGATTATACAAGATTATAGGTAAGCTCTAATTGTGGGGAATTGGGAGCAAGCACTTGTTTACACACCAGGGAAGTGACTGACTTTGTGTACTTTAACACCTTTGCAAACAGCTTTTCTTTCTTTTGTCTTACTAACTATAGCAGTCTACCATTGTCCAATGAGCTTGACCTCAGATTCTAAGTTCAGTTTTTGCCCTTGTTTAAAAAAAAAAAAAACCTTTGGAGTTGAGGACCAAGCCTAGGATCTTACACTTGCTAGGCAAGTACTCTACCACTGAGCTAAATCCCCAACCCCCCTGAGTTTTGTATTATGAATGCTGTAAGCATGTTTTTCTGGGATCATTCCTCCACAGCACATTTTTTTTTTCCGAGTTTTTCGAGACAGGGTTTCTCTGTGTAGCTTTGCGCGTTTCCTGGACCTCGCTCTGTAGCCCAGGCTGGCCTCGACCTCACAAAGATCCACCTGCCTCTGCCTCCCGAGTCCTGGGATTAAAAGCGTGAGCCACCACCGCCCGGCCACAGCACATTTCTTAACAAAGGGTGATCAGAATCACCTGAGAGCTGGGAGGAAGAAGAGTTGTGTTTTTAGAATGAGCGACACACCTATTGGTGTGGAATTGGGGCCAAGTGAGATACTCAGTGGGCAGAGGCACTAGCACACAGGTCTGGCCACCTGAGTTTGAGCTCCAGACCCCATAAATAAGGTAGTAGGAGGGAAACAACTCCATGAAATGTAAGTGCCTGCATATAGAAAATAGTTTTTGAAATGTACTGGAATCTGAACTAGAACCTGAGAATAAATGGGTAATGTTATTTGTGAGTGTCAAGGTCCTTTTCACCTTACCATTCTAACAAATGACAACTCACATGCCCTGATTTGCTGTTTTGGGAGTGACTGAGGAATGACTGTCAACTGGGAAAAAAGCATGGGTTTTGAGTCATAATTATTATACAGCCATGACTAAAGATAGAAAATGGAGGGAGGAGGCTGGAGAGATGTCTCAGTGGTTAAGAGCATTTGTTTCTCTTGCAGAGGACCCAGGTTCGCTTCCTAGTATCTATTCAGTGGCTTACAACCATCCAAAACTCCACTTCCAAAGGATCCAGTGCCTTTTGACTTCCTCAGGCAGCAGGCCATGCACATTATGCACATATATTTATGCATAGAAACACTCATACACACAAAGTAAATAAATCTAAAGAGCATAGCAGTTTTATAGAGAATTTAGCATAGTCGTTAGAATTGAAACTCAAAACCTGGCACCCGCAGACTAGGCAGGAGACCTTTGGAGCATTCAAGTGCACTTGACACTCAATGGAGAATCAGGTCATCTTCATTAGAATGGAGGGTAGTGTCTTTGAGAGGCCAAGGGTGAGACTTAAAAAGTTAGGCTGAGTAATAAATAATAGTAAAAAAATAAATAGACACAGTAAAAACAGTGGCCCTTAGCAATAAAAGAGGCCCTTAAGCCAGCTTGTAACTGTAAAGTAACTTGTTTTGGGAAGCATTGTTTGACATGAGAAAGGACCTATGTTAGCAGATAACCCACTGTCTCCCAAAGATATCATTCACATGCTAAAAGCATAGGAATAGCCACAGACATTTAGGACTGTGCACAGGTTGGGGCTGGGGATATAGTTCCACTTGGTAGAGTTCTTACATAGCATGTAAGAAGTCCTGGGTTGGGTCCCCTGTAACAAAATAAAGTGAGCATGGTGGCACATGCCTGTAATCCCAGCAGAGGCAGGAGAATCATCTGCTACATAGGTAGTTCATGGCCAGTCTGGGCTATCTGAGATTTTCTCAAAACAAGCAAACAAAAAGTGTTAACACAACTTTTTTAGTAGGATACCAAATTTTTGTCTTAAAGTATTTTTTACAGAATATTAATGTGTAACATTGGGTTATAAAACTTTTTCTTCTTAACTTTACTTGGAGGGAAAATTGTATATTTGGAACTAGTGACCTAAATTAAATTTTAAACATCTATATATATAAAATGCTGTGAGCTAGATCCTGTACAAGTTGGGGGCGGGGAAGAGGAGAGTGTGTGTGGGGGGGGGGGGCTGAGAATCATTGTCCATGCCATGCCAAAGAGTGGCCTAGAGGCCTGGAGGAACCTGCTCCTGAGAAAGCCCTTTCTGCCTAGGAAAACACTAACACCTGCTCTGTTCACACCTGTTCTAGGGGGCCGAGGCGATGGTTCTGGAGAGTGTTATGTTTGCCATTCTTGCAGAGAGGTCACTTGGGCCAAAACTCTATGGCATCTTTCCCCAAGGCCGACTGGAGCAGTTTATCCCGGTAAGATTATGTAAATCACAGGCAAGAGGTGGATTCCGTTCCTCCTAGCAGCAAAAGCCTAAAATCCTGTCATTTGAAATATTAAATGTAGGATTTATAAATGTGAGAAATAGTAAATGGGAGATAGCTCAGCAGGCATGAGCTCTTGGTGCTCTTCCGAGGATCCGGTTTTAATTTTCAGCCAGGTCACACCTTTAATCCCAGCACCTGGGAGGCAGAGGCAGGCAGATCTCTGGGTTTGAGGCCAGCCTGGTCTATATAGTGAGTTCCAGGACAGCCAGAGCTACACAGAGAAACCCTATTTCAAAAAACCAAAAGGAAAAAAAAAAAAGAAGGAAAAGAAAAGAAAAAAATGTTAAGCCAGATTGGCTCATACCTGTGATGCCAGCAGGTTGAGGCAAAAGGATTACTCCAAATTTGAGACCAGCCTGAGCTACACAGTTGAGACCCTGTCTATAAAACAAGCAAGAAGGCTAGGCATGGTGATACATCTTTAATCCCAGCACACAGGAAGCAAAGGTGTACTTGGAGACCATAACCTGCTCTGTGTCTTAAGTTCCAGGCTAGACAGTGAGATGTTGTCTTAAAGCAAGCAGAGAAGTTTCCTATAATGAGTGTGTTGTGTTCTGTGTAAGTCTGGCAGCAGCTGCTTAGGAGTAGCCCTGAATCTCTTTGTCGCTTCATTTCTCTTGTGCTTGATTTAATCTTGTACTGTTTTGCTCCTTGTGGCCTTAGGAGCAACAGGTTAAAACACAGTTTAAGTGTGTAATGGGCTTAAACTACCTAGCTTTGTTAAGTACACTGTATGGTTGCAGTAGCCTGAGGACACATTTCTAGGAGTGTTCCTTTTGCTAAGTGTTATGTGACTGTAGTAGCTTTTCTGTTTTGTTATTCAAGACAGGGTTACTCTGTGAGCCCTGGCTGTCCTGGAACTCTCTTTGTTGGCCAGGCTGGCCTCAAGCCCACAGAGATCCATCTACCTCAGCCTCCTGAGTGCTGGGATTAAAGGTGTGTGCCACCACCCTGGCTATAGTGGCATTTTTGAAAGCTGAGTGAGCTGTCCTCAGAAGTCCTGAGTGTCTGATTAGTGAAACTGATTCCTCGTCCATGTAATAACACGGCTTGTTGAAAATGCTGTAGAGAAGATTCCAGAATCGAGGAGATTGAGTTCCATGCATGGTTCTTAGTGCTAGGTGTCAAATACCTTCAGCTGTTGAGATTTACACTGGATTAGATAGCATCTCCTTCACCTGGAAGCTGTGAGCAAGTTTAGTGTTGTTCCTGTCCAATGCAACAGGAAACGAGGCCCTGAGGAATGAAGTCACACACCTAGCTCATATCTTTGAAGCAAGAATTTGAGCAGGATTTCTCTAACTGGGCAGCACTCCCTGCCCTGTGCCTGCTGCTTTGTACCTTCAGGGAGACCCCACCTTGAATCCTGTAGGGGTACAGCTTGTGTGGAGAAGCCAAAGGATTTCCTAGACCACCCTGTGGAAGGGCTGTCAGGATGAGCCAGCGACAGCACAGTGTCTACAGCTTAGTGTCTGACCTTTATGTCCACATAGTGTGGCACATGTCTGCTCCATTTCAACCTTGGTGCTAAGGACACAGCAGGAGCAGTTGGCAGCCCTCTTGAACCTACGGCTTCTCTAATAGGATATTCACTGATCGAGCACTGAGGACTACTGAAGAATTAGGATATTCACTGATGGAGCACTGAGGACTACTGAAGACAAGCTATCAGTTTTGACAAGTGAGGACACCAGCTGCAGCCATAGAGATGCGACCACAAGTCACAGGAATGGTGTTTCTAGTTGATTAAAGGAAATACTTCCTCAGGTCCTTAATAAAATAGACCTGCTCCTCTCTGTATACCCCACTCCTCTCTGTAGAGTACTCTGGAACTTACTGGGTCATCACCTGTGGTAATGCTGTGTCTTTTTTATAGAACAGGGCCTCACTGTAAAACCAGACTGGCCTTTAACTCACTTATCTGCCTGCATTGGCTCTTGAGTTACTGGGATTAAAGGTATAATACTGCCAGGCCTGACTACATGCCCATTCTTAAGAAAATTGTGTGCACTGGGTGAGACTTCAGTAACTTACCCAGACTCGTTCTTGGTTTTAATGTGGTGTGGTCTCATTACAATTGTTAGTTGGCATGGGTAAATGGCAGCTCCTGAATCCCTTTTCCGTTTTAGAGCCGACGATTGGACACTGAAGAATTATGTTTACCAGATATTTCTGCAGAAATAGCTGAGAAAATGGCCACATTTCATGGAATGAAAATGCCATTCAATAAGGAGCCAAAATGGCTTTTTGGAACAATGGAAAAGTAAGTGTTGAGATTATTTGGTTCCCATCTCTTTTACCTTGTGTCTTTGGCAGTAACAGAAGTGGGTGCTTCCCTTCATCTGTCAGGGTGGTCAGAGGCCCCTTTTGGTTCATTGATGTGCATACCATCCCTTGTGATGTGTCTCATGATAAGCCTTTCTTGCATGAATCAGTCAATTTCTGGACCAAGAAAAAAGACTTGTTTGCAAAATTGCTGTTGGCTGGGTGGAGAGCCAACTTCCTTGAGTACTGTAGGTCCGATCATCCCTTCCCTCTTTCCTGGAGCACAGGGATTCCTTGGGACTGGGACTGGCTGGAGTTGGGTGATTGGGTGAGGCCTGAGAATGCACCTGCTGAGCTTGGCTCTGCTCTTTTTCTCTCCTATGACAGATACCTGAACCAAGTGCTAAGACTTAAATTCAGTGGGGAGGCCAGAATGCAGCAACTGCACAAGTTCCTCGATTACAACTTGCCTCTGGAGCTTGAGAACCTGAGGTGAGTGTATCTACCCTGGGGTGGTAAGCTCCTCATCTACAGAGTAAATGTTCTCTCAGTAGTAAGTCCTGGTGAATTGGAATCTGCCTTTTTTTTTTTTTTTTAACTTCTTCCTGAGGCAGGGTTTCTCTCTGTAGCCTTGGCTGCCTGGAACTCATTCTGTAGACCAGGCTGGCCTCATACTCAGAAATCAGCCTGCCTCTGCCTCCCTGCTGGGATTAAAGGTGTGCACCACCACCACCACCACCACCACCACCACCACCACCACCACCACCACCACCACCACCACCACCACACCTGGCTTTGGAGTGGGGGGGTAAGTTTGTCTTTTTAAGATTTTATTTTTATTTTCAAATCTTTTTTTTTTTGTTTTGTTTTATTTTGTTTTTTTCGAGACAGGGTTTCTCTGTGTAGCTTTGCGCCTTTCCTGGGACTAACTTGGTAGCCCAGGCTGGCCTCGAACTCACAGAGATCCGCCTGGCTCTGCCCCCCGAGTGCTGGGATTAAAGGCTTGCGCCACCATTGCCCGGCTATTTTCAAATCTTAATTCAACATCATCTGCAAGTATTTGTTCTTAGTCACAGAGTCATTAGCCCTGAATGTAGATGGTCAAGTGAGGCTTTGCCTAGGATGTGAATGATGGGTGGAGGTAGTAAACCAGGGAGATGGGAGACTAAAATTAAGTACTGGAAGACATTAAGAATCTTGAGATTAGGGACGGGAGAGATTAGCTCATAACTGTCTGTAACTCCAGTTCCAGGGGACCCCCCACCCTCACACAGACACACAGACACACACACACACACACACACACACACACACACACACACACACACACACAGGCAAAACACCAATGTACATAAAATAAAAATAAATTAAAAAAAAAGATTCTTGAGATTCTGCTGGGTGGTGGTGGTGGTGGTGGTGGTGGTGGTGGTGGTGGTGGTGGTGCACGCCTTTAATCCCACCACTCTAGAGGCAGAGGCAGGCAGATCTCTGAGTTCAGGGCCAGCCTGGTCTGCATAGCAAGTTACAGGACAGCCAGAGCTACACAGAGAAACTCTGTCTGAAAACCCAAAAAAGAATCTTGAGATCGGTTTCTGAATGGAAACCTCTGTTGTGTCCTCTTGGTGAGCCTGGGTGCAGGCATGTGCTGTGCCAAGTGGAAATGGTACCCAAGACCTTTAAAGAGCTCTGACTTTATTTGGACAGGAAGCAACTGTCTAGCTCTGATACATGCTATGAAGGGAACTACTCTGGGGGCGTCTACTCTGAGTCCTTGGGCAGGCTCATGTGCAGCAGTGTGTGTGTGCCAGGACAGCATGAGGAGAGTGTGCAGTACAGAGAGGCTGGCCGGGTTCTCTGCTGAGACACACGAGACGCATGGACAGCATGAGGAGAGTGTGCAGTAGCAGTGGGGGAGAGTTTGCAGTACAGAGAGGCTGGCTGGGTTCTCTGCTGAGACACACGAGACGCATGGTTTTCAGAATATGACTGTGTGGGCTGTGTTAGAATGCTGGCTCTGTGCTGGCCACATGAGTGTGCGTGCACCTTACTGAACTAGGTTGCTAACAGTGAGCTTTCTTTTCCAGGTCATTGCTGCAGTATACTAAATCTCCAGTTGTATTTTGTCATAACGACTGTCAAGAAGGTAAGAATTGCCATGGCATGCTAAAGATAAGGCTTATGTTATACTTAGAAGACCACTGATGAATGTGTATGACGCATGCAAGATGGCAGCACAAGTGTAACTTTATACTAAAGAAAACCCTCAGCTGGGCGGTGGTGGCACACGCCTTTAATCCCAGCACTCTGGAGGCAGAGCCAGGCAGATCTCTGTGAGTTCGAGGCCAGCCTGGTCTACAGAGCGAGATCCAGGACAGGCACCAAAACTACACAGAGAAACCCTGTCTCAAAAAAAAAAAAAAAAAAAAAAAAGAAAGGAAGAAAGAAAGAAAACTCTTCTGGATTATAGGAAGAAAAACAAGATCTCAAAAAATGAGTAGAGTATTAGTTGTATTTATAATGTTAACATCTATATAATAGAAAGATCTGGAATGAAACTACATGCATCAGTTGATGTGTAACTCCTTATGGTAGATATTTCTACTTCTTTAGCCTGCAAAGAAGAAGGCCCAGATCACATGGGCTCTATGTTACTCTCCAACTACCTTCCCAAGAACAGGCGCACACACAGCGAAAGCTTTGCTCACACTGCTTCTCTTGAGAAACATCGCAGTGAAGGCGCTGCTGTCACAGCAGAGTTTGACTGGATCGTTTGAGAAAACACCCAGCCGTCCAGCTCCTTTGCCTACATTGTCTGCCTGCCTTACTTTGACATTCCGTCTGCGGTGTCATGGGTGGCTATAGTTATTCTGTGTTGGTTTTGGTTTGTTGTTTGTTTGGTTTTTTGTGGGTTTTCAAGACAGGATTTCTCTGGAGCTCGGGCTGTTCTGGAATTCACTATGTAGACCAGGCTGGTCTCAGCCACAGAAACCCTTCTGACTCGGCCTCTTAAATGCTGGGATTAAAGCTATGCTTCACTACTGCTCAGCTCTTCTGTGTTTTCAAGACTGCATCTTGGCATGTTGTCCAGCTTGGCCCCCAAATCTTGAGATTAGGTAATTGTACCTCTAGTTTTTTAGTTCTAGATCAGTTTCTTGTGAAGTCTCTTCATCTATAAGCCATTAATTTGAGCCAAAGTACTTTTCTGATTAGTTGGATCATTGCTTGGCCACTAGTGGGGTAGAGCAAGGTATAGAAGTTTCAGCACCAGCTTGGCGCATTAACCATACCCATCTGGTCCTGATGGTGGATGAGGTGTGCAGACCATCAGCAGCAGAGAGAAGAATTGTCTGAGTCATGGCCAAGTGTCGAGAGGATAGAAATGACAGCTTGCATGTATTTTGTTGTACAAGTTTGGGTGTCTACCCTAGTCTCATTTTCCTTGCTTTTGAAAGCAGCAGGAGTATACTGCAAAGCCTAGAAACTACCTCCACTAGAAACCTTGGGAGAGGGAGAGTGGCCAGAGTTAGCAAAGGATAGGACTGCAGGCCCACTCACCCACTCCTGAGCTGCTGAACACATCAGTGGGGGGATCTAGGGAAATGGGCTGGCACAACCAGGCTGTCAGTCACCCACCTGCCTAGACTCATTGCTGGAGAAACCTCATGGCAATTGTCTGTGGTCTTTTTGGGTTGAAACAGTATGCAGGGACAAATCAGTTGGACACCAGTTGGCCAGATGATGACAGCAGCCCAGTCCCATGGCTCCAGGAGGTTGAGTTAAGGAGACCAGATGCACTCTAACACACACTGTGTGAGGTTTTTGGAAAGTACTGCTCCAGGCAGTGGTAAGGGGTCTGGCTATGTTCTATAGGAAGTAGAGTGCCCAGAAGGACAGGGACTGGGAACAGGTGGTCTTGGAGCCTCCCTGCTTAGAGTCAGGTCATCATGACAAAACTTGTACTACTCTGTCTGCCCCTGTGATGTCTTTAGGACCAAAGCTGAATCATTCAGGGCCACAATCACTCTCAGCTCTGCTGCTGCCCAAGGATTTGAGCCTTGTGTTTAAAAAAGGTCTTGTCGCCAGGTGGTGGTGGCCCATACCTGTAATCCCAGCACTTGGGAGGCAGAGGCTGGCAGATCTCAAGTGAGTTCAAGGCCAGCCTGGTCTACAAAGCAAGTTCCAAGACAGCTAGGACTTTTACACAGAGCAAACCTGTCTTGAAAAACCAAAACTAACAAACAAACAAACAAATAAATAAGTAAATGTCTTGTCGCCCAAACCTTTTGTAGGTAATATCTTATTGTTGGATGGCCAAGAGAATTCTGAAAAGCAGAAGCTGATGCTCATTGACTTTGAATACAGCAGTTACAATTACAGGTAATGTGTTACAGTCAAATGCTGATTTCAGTACAGTTTCATTATTGTGATACAAAGCAGTTATAGGTACAAACAGCATACAGAGCAGAAAAGAAGGTGTTTCCCCTGAGGCAGGTCAGCACAGACCCTGCCCATGTAGTTGGAGCAGGTACTCACAAGCAGTTTGCCTCTCTCTCTGGACTGCCAAGATGGTTCTCTTGACATGAGTACTGATTGCCAAGGAAGCATTGTGCTCGGGTGCCCAAGTAGCATTCAGGTAGCACTTTTGGTTTGCAGTCTGCTATGGTTCTGATGCTCACCTAATTGTCTTCTGTGCATTAAAGCTGCCACACTCTTGTCTGCTCCAGAAGCCTACCTCGGGGACCAGAGAACCCACTTAAAGGTCATTCAGCTTTTTAATGAGTATATATGTACATCGTGTGTGTGCCTAGTGCTGAGGGCCTGTAGAGGCCACCAGATTACCTGGAACTGAGCTGTCTGACATGGGTCCTCTGCAAAAGCAGCAAGTGCTCTTCAGCATTGAGCCCTCTCCTCAGCCCCCATTCAGCATTTTTCCTTTCTGCTCAGGCAGCCTACAGGTCCTGTAACATACCTCACATCTTACCTGCACTGTTTTCTCTTTCAGGGGATTTGACATTGGAAATCATTTCTGTGAATGGATGTATGATTATACCTATGAAAAGTATCCTTTCTTCAGAGCAAACATTCAGAAGTATCCTACCCGAAAACAACAGGTAGGAGACTCATTTGTATTGATAAATTAGCTTTGTGTGTGAGCTAGCTTTATGCAGTTAGGGTTACATGCTCATTTTTTAGTATTTTACTTATATTTATTTTGTTTTGTTTGTGAGACAGGGTCTCACTGTAGCCCTGGCTATCCTGAATTTGCTATGTAGACCAGGGTGCCCTTGAACTCAGAAATCTACTGGCCTCTGACTCCTGAGTGCTGGGATTAAAGGCCTGTACCACCAACCCTGGCACATACTCATTAAAAAATATTCCGCCGGGCGGTGGTGGCGCACGCCTTTAATCCCAGCACTCGGGAGGCAGAGCCAGGCGGATCTCTGTGAGTTTGAGGCCAGCCTGGACTACCAAGTGAGTCCCAGGAAAGGCGCAAAGCTACACAGAGAAACCCTGTCTCGAAAAACCAAAAAAAAAAAAAAAAAAAAAAAAAAAATTCCATATATTCATTTAAAAGAGAAAGAGGGGGAGAGAGAGTGTCTGTATGTGTGTTTTGCTAGGGACTAAACTCGGAGCCTCTTACAAACTGGATGAGCATTCTACTTAGCCACATCCCATCCCCATGATAGCTCTGCTTAAATTATGGCAAAGAAGAGTTAGGAAAACTCTTTTGCTCATGTTAAAAACATCATTTTGGCTGGGGCTGCTTAGGAAGAGGGGGAAGAGGATTGTGAGCCTGGGCTACACAGCAATACCATGCATCGAGTAAAAAGAGTGCTGTAGATCAGTGGAAGGAAGCACGTGGTAGCATGTAGGAGGCTCTGGGTTCAATCCTAATAATAAAAATAATAGTGGTAAGTTTTTCGTTTGGTTTGGTTTGGTTTGGGTTTTTTTCAAACAGGGTTTTTCTGTGTAGCCCTGGCTATCATATAACTCACTCTGTAGACTAGGCTGGCCTGGAACTCATACAGATTCACCTGCTTCTGCTTCCTGAGTGCTGGGATTAAAGGTGTGCGCTGCCACCACTGGGCAATAATTTTGTTCTGCTGATGTGGAGTACATACTGGACATCTGAGTCTATCTTTTGGTTACTTCCTGTGCTGTAAGACACCTGGTTCAGTCGGAGAGGTATTAGGCTTCCTGTGGTTCCTCTATGTTTGCCAAAAGCCCCACTTCTTAGGCATGTGGGGTAGGCTGAGCATCCTGCTTATTTCATGAACCTGTGTGTAACTGGAGGAAAAGCTTTGCTGTGAGTGGTTCCTTTCCCATCCTGAATCTTGGGGGCGGGGAGGTGGGGGATACTGGTTATAGGGAGAATCATTTTTTTCTGGGAATTTCTTCCTGGGATTCTCTCATTTCTCAGCTCATCTCTGAAGCCTGGGTTTAACTTGATGGGGTTTGGTCCTGAAAGTGGGCAGGGCGGGGGCGAGCAGGACAAACTTACCTAGAATTTCACAGCTGCAGGATGGTGGCTCGATTGCTTCCTGTGAGGACAGATATGAACAAGCCACTGCTGCAGGTCAGTCAAGGAGCATCTTGAGCCCATGTGGAGCCAAGAGCCCTATAAAGAGGCTTCAGGAATCAGACTCCATTCTAGGGCTGGCCTTTCAAATGGGAGCTTGCTAAGATGTCAGGAAGTGTCATAACTCTCTTCTGGTCACTTTTTTTTTTTTTTTTTTTTTTGGTTTTTCGAGACAGGGTTTCTCTGTGTAGCTTTACGCCTCTTCCTGGAACTCACTTGGTAGCCCAGGCTGGCCTCGAACTCACAGAGATCCGCCTGGCTCTGCCTCCCGAGTGCTGGGATTAAAGGCGTGCGCCACCACCGCCCGGCTCTGGTCACATTTTAAGGCTGTTGGGAATGAACTGGAATGTGTCCAGAGCTAGGCAGCCAAGTGTGAGGAACAGGAGAAATAGGGGATCGTGGCTCTACTTGGGGTTGGGGAGCAGAGCACAGGTGACAGCGTTGAGTCTAGGCTTAGGTGGAAGAGAAATTGGGCCCATAGAGTGAATAGCTCCAGAATTAAGAGCTATCAGAATAGCTGGGAGGGAGTACCAGCCAGGGGGAGATTGTGGTGGTCCAAGACAGTGCTAAAACCATAGATGTGTGCAGTTTAAGGAAGTTGCTTTCTAGTTACATTTTTCTGAATGGTTAAGATGATGTGGGGGATGTCTGTCTCAGTAGGAAAGAGCTTGACCAACATGTGCAGAGCCCTGGATTTGATCCCCATCCCCACATAAATAAATAAACAGGAAGAAAGATAGTGTGAGTGTGAGGCTCTGTCAGACATTAGCTCTGTGTATGTTGAGGTAATATAGTGCTTTTTTTTTCTTTAATCCATTGTAGATACTTTAAAGTGTGTGGCCTTCTGGAGTTCTAGTTTTGAACTAGAACTATGTGTAAGGGTGTTTACTCTGCATGAATGTCTGCTCACTGTGTATATACAGTGCCTACAGAAGCCAGAGAGGGCCGGGCGGTGGTGGCGCACGCCTTTAATCCCAGCACTCGGGAGGCAGAGCCAGGCGGATCTCTGTGAGTTCGAGGCCAGCCTGGGCTACCAAGTGAGTCCCAGGAAAGGCGCAAAGCTACACAGAGAAACCCTGTCTCGAAAAACCAAAAAAAAAAAAAAAAAAAAAAAAAAAAAAGAAGCCAGAGAGGGCATTGGATCCCCTGGGACTAGAGTTTGGGAAGCTCATAAGCTACCCTGTGGGTGCTGGGAACCAAATCTGAGTCCTTTGCAAGAGTAGCCAGTGCTCAACCACTGAGCCATCGCTCCAGTCTCCCTGAATTGTGTTATTTTGTGATGCTCATGTAGAACTTTATGTAAACCCCATTTGATGAAAGCTAATGAAAAGATGCTGTGGATGTCAGGGTCAGAAGGCACCATGGCCTTGCTGTTCTCACTCTGGCAGCCTGTGTGATAAGCATGTTCATAGCTGTTAGTGTTTTAACCATCATCTATCCTAACGCAGTTAATTCTTTTTTAAGCTCCATTTTATTTCCAGTTACTTGACTGCATTCCAGAATGATTTTGAAAGCCTCAGTAGTGAAGAGCAGTCCGCCACAAAAGAAGACATGCTGGTTGAGGTCAACAGGTAAGCTTCTCCTTGCTCTGTGGTAAGGAAAACCGCTCCCAGTCAGTGGTGGTTGGTGTGTTTTGTACTGAGGCTGGAGATGGTGACATGGCTCTACTCATCTGCTGTTGTCCTCATGTCAGCAGGAGAGGAAGGTGTGGGTGAGTGGGTCAGAGAAGTCTCCTGCTCAGGGAGCAGCTTCCTGCTGAGTGCATAGGGCAGGTTTTCAGGAGCTTCTGGCAGCTGGTGGTTCTGTATATTCTCTGTAGCAGAGCATGGCCACCCCAGTGCCCTGTGTGCCCTGGCCAGGCAGCTGGGTGTATTCACACCAGTAAGCATTTCCGTGGTCAGAAGTGGGAAGAGTCCAGTCTTTATACGGCCCCACAAAAGGGCCAAGGCAGCACTTACTGCATAAGAGAGATGCCTGGTAGCATGGCCATGGGTATAACATGACTTCTTTGCTTCCCTGACTGACCTTACATGACTTATGTGCTTCTCAATCTTGTGATTACAGATTTGCCCTTGCCTCCCATTTCCTCTGGGGACTTTGGTCCATTGTACAGGCCAAGATTTCATCCATTGAATTCGGGTACATGGTATGTTTCAGGGGCAATATTTTTTTTGGCTGCAAGTAAGAGCTGTAGTGTGTGAATGCTTGGCAAGGGCATTTGGTAGCAACAGGTTAGTGTAGCTCTGGAAGCCCTTCTCGCTGATCCTAGTTGCCTCACTTGAGGGCCATAGGTGCTGCTTGCCAGCTTCAGCCAAGCCTAGCTGGGTCTGCAGTCTGGGGCAGAGGAAAATCTGGACTGGTCTGTCTACTCGATTGCAGCCCTTTTGACACAAGGGACACTAAGTGAAGAAAGGTGATACCTCCCATGATAAGGCTGTATTCTTGTCCCCACTCCATACTCCAACTTGTTACCCCCAGCTTCAGCTTGAAGGTTGGTACCATTGTTGTCAGTCAGGCCGTCGTCATCTGCTCTAACACTAGGGCCGTCTATGTTCTTGACTCTTTCTTGGGACAGGTCACACCCATATGAAGGTGGCTGTACTTTAGGTGGGAGGTTTGGTAATGATGCCATCAGGCAACGACAGGAGAAATTTGGATATTTAAAGCAGATTTGGGGGTCAGTGAGATGGCTCAGCAGGCAAAGGCATCTACCACCAAGCCTCCTGATACCTAGTATCTAGTACCCACATGGTGGAAAGAGAACTGACTCCTGCAAATTGTTCCTTGACCTCTACACATGCTCTGTGGCGTGAGTACTCCCTGACAAGTGAAATGTAATTTTAAAAATCTGATTTGATCAGATGATGCTGTTAGATAGAACAGACTTCAGAACAAGGAAGGGCACCAGAAATACAGTCTTTGTTAGCATAGTGGTTCACAGCAGCACTCTAGGCACTTAGAGGTGGAGGCACAAGTCTCAAGGTGTTTTCTGTCTCCCAGGAATATGCCCAAGCCAGGTTCGATGCCTATTTTGACCAGAAGAAGAAACTTGGGGTGTGAATGGGATGACTCCACTCTTCACCACTGGACTGCAGGAGGCGGCTGCGCCAGGCCCTCGGTGGAGCTTTGTTGTGACCACTGCCCTGGGGCAGAAGGCCTGGACGTCTCACTACTGAGCACCGATGTATATGATACTACAGACTATATTAAAGTGGAGTAACATTTCTCTCATCTTTGTTTACGCTCTCACTAGGACTCTGAACCATGATTGGAAGCAGAATTTAGGACAATAGTGCAATAGCTCAGAACCCACCTAACTGGAGGCCTTTGGCTGCATGGCGACAGCTCTCAGCCATATGGCCCCAGCCGGACAGAGCAGCGCCATTTGGGTACTTCAAGCACTGACTTAGGATATTAATGTGCTGCAACACATTTGTGACCAGGCTTTGTGGTGATAGTGTGTTGGAGATCCTTCTGAAGGGTGAGTGAGCAGACATGCTGTGAAATGGCGCAGCAGGACGAGCTGAGTCATGGGGTCTGTGGATGGGCAGACTTGCTGGAAAAGCAGGTACACTGAGCTACAGGTGTACATCTGCAGAAAGTAGCTGTAGCCCTCCTGTGCCTGTGTACGCGTGACTACGTGGACCAGTGTCAATGGCTGGCCGTGGTGTCTCCTAACTGGGGAGGAGCAGTGGAGCCAGCTTCCTCAGCCTTTCTTTCTTGCCTTCCCTCTGCCTGGCCTGGAACTTGGGCATCTGCCCAGGACTCTCCAAAGCTGCTTCCCATCCAGTGTCACTGGGAGACAGCAGCTGTATGTGGGGTACAGGGGTGCAGGTGGACTAGAGCTGTGAAATCCATGTACATTAAATACCCAATGGGATAAACTTAGAATTTTTTTTTTTTTTACTCTGAACTCTGAATTGTTTTGTGCACATATTTCTGCTACCACCGAGACTGTATTATACAGAAAAATAAACAACTTGAAACCATCATCAGGCTGTTACCCTGCATGTGTCAAAAGCCTTTCTTTCCATGTGACTAGTGTCGGGTTGGGTATCCTCCTCATCACACCTCATTCTCTGTGCCACCACACCACATGCTGGTGTCTTACAGGTCTCCATGACTCCAGATAGCTAAGGTCCCTGGGACCTGCCACCCTTCCTGCTTCACCAGGGGCTAAGGCCTAGACAGCAGCAGAGGAAGCTGCAGGTGTTCCCCTTGCTCTGACCAACAAAACTTGAGCCAGAACACTGGCATCTCTTGAACTCTCCACTGAAGCATATGGTAAAAATGACATGGCTGCTTGTCCTCAGTCTCATTAGTGGCTCCACGACAGCTGACTCTCAGCTTGCCTGATGGTCCTCAAATAACAGGCTCCTCCACCATCTGCTTGATTACGTCTCTTTAATTATGTGGTGGGGGAGGGGTACGTGCACCTGAGTGCAAGTGTCCCAGGAGGCCAGAGGAGTGGGATGTCCTAGAACTGGAGTCACAGGCAATTGTGAGCTGCTCAGTGTGAGAGCTGGAAACCAAACCTAGGTCCTCTGCAAGAGCAAAACAGTTTGTAACATGCTTCCCTAAATCTTCTGTTGGTGATAGTGCCTTTCCCAAATCACCTTTGCAGCCCTACATCCCTGCCTGCTGCTTCCTAGTCTTCCTGTGTGAGCCTTCCCAGCATTTCTGACTGACTACTGACTTAGTTGTTTCCTGCCCAAAGGAGCAGGGATCAGATCCATCCTGTCCTGATCACACCCCTTTAGTGGGAATGACTGCCCGGACACAGCTTGCTGGTGCCATGACATGCTGTTCCCATGGCAACTGGAATACCCAGTCCAAGCAGGCAGGTGTCAGAACTTGGGTAGACCTACTGGCGTCTCCTAGGGATCCTCTACAACTTCTGCCCAGCTCTGTTACATTCTCTTAGCTTAGTCTGCCAAGCATATGAAAAACTATCTGAAAGACCCTGCTATTCCCAACCCTGCATTCAGAGATCCCCAGACAGTCTACACCCCTCCCAGCAGCTTGACCAAGGCCATTGTGGCTAGCTGTGCCCAGAGGCAGCTCTGGCCTCAAAGCAGCCTTTGTTGCTGGAACCTTCAGCTGTATGAACTACTTTGTAACTTGGCTGGAAAACAGGGTCTCTGGTCTCTGACATGCACTGGCTATATATGCCTCCCAGCCAGAAGGAATGAAAGGCCATCCCTACCTCAACCAAACATGGGGGGAAAAGGACCTTAAGGATTTCAGGGAGGCAGGGCCTAAAGTCAAAGCCAGTTTGTACACCTCCAAAGATGGGAAGCTCACTCTTCCCACCAAACTAGAACATCCCTTCTTGGTCCTAGAGCTAATTCTCTTGCCCCCAAGAGTTTGCAGATGTATTCATGGGTTCTCACAGCAACTTCTAAAAGGCCTAGATCCTAGACTAGGGCCTCCCACCCTTTACCTCAGCTGAAGGATGATCCAATGTAGTGTCATCCCAGTTCCATATCCCAGAGAGGACTAAGGCAAAGTTCCTGGGCCAGCCAGTTCTTTATTCCTTTCCCGATTTGGGGGAGGCAAGGATCACAATGGATGCTACTCATTGTCAACAGCGAAGGTGAAGGGGCTGAGCTTGTAGCCGGTACCCGAGTAGAACTTGTTCTGGAACTCCACCCTGGGTGTGAGAAAGGGGCCAGTGAGGGGAAGGCCACCCGTTCCCTCCATGCCCGGGCTCACTGTGGGTGTGCTTACCAGTGCAACCGCAAGGCATGCAGGAAGGCTGAGAGCCCCTCCATCACTAGCAAGATGGCCACAGTCATGACAGCAAAGGCAGCGAACACAGGGACCAGCACCACAGCTGCCACACCCATCTCTCGGCCCATGCCCAGGCCTATGCGCATCACCATGGCCCACAGGACCTCAGAGAGCTCTGCACACAAACAAGGGCACAGTGGGACCTGTTAGCATCCCCACCCCTAGTAGCATCCTTGACCCCCTCCTTGGAGCTGGTGAGGCACCTCTGTGGGGAACCCAATTTGACAGGAGGCCCAAGAAAAGGTCACTCACGGGCATGGGCTAGGCTCAGGGCCCAGAGACGCAAGTAGGAGGCTGTGTTGGAGATGCAGCCCAGGCAGAACTCAATGGTGTGGATGGCCTGGTGCATGAAGACCTCCGAGGGGACAAACTGCATGGTAAGAGGTCATGAGACAACAGCAGAGGCTGGCAGCCCTCCCCCCCCCCCCCCCCCAGCAAGGAAGAGTGCTGCACCCACCCACCTCCGCTTCCTCATCATCCCCTGGGATCCCAGCCTTCTCTTCATCAGGGCTCCAGCCATTCTCCGGAGTGGAAGCATCAGAAGAGGCCAGAAGCTTGTCACTGTCCTTGTCCTGAGAGTAGGTAGCATGAACAGCTCCAGCCCCAGGGGCAGCCCATGCCACCCACCCAGAAGCATGGAGCCTGCAGGGAAACAAGGAGCACCTCCCATGCAGCCCTCCCTCCTTCCCTGTACTCCTCCTGACCTCTACCTGTCGGCCCACTGGCCTCCTCTGAATATTTCTGCGACGGTGTTGCCGCAGCAGGTACAAGGGTGTGCCCAGCAGCAGGACAGGAACTGTGGCCAAAGCCAGGACCACCAGTGCATACTGTACCACTTCCTGTGGGCAAGGAGGGCAAGGCAACCACACACTGTATGCAAGCAGTGAGTCAGTCCCTCAGTGTGGTCATATTGATCACAGGGAACTGCAGTCCCTCCCCCAGCGACCTTCACTAACAAGGACCCCTGAGAAGGGACTTCAGGTTCCCAACACCCCCTGTGAGACCACACTGCTCCAAGCTTTAGTCCATCACCTCTGACATGACTGCAGGAATTCTGGCCCACAGCCCATTTCTCAGATGGCCCTGCAGCTCCAAGGGGCCCAGTGACTAAAGTGGGGCTCCCCAGTCAAAGAGCCATACTCTTTCCCTGGCCTACCTGCCCATGGAAGAGCGGCTGATTGGTGGGGCTTTGGGCAAAGAGGAACATATTGATAAAGTGGATGAGGATACTGGGAGCCGTGGAGGCGCTGGCAGCTGACTCCTGAAGCCACTTGTAGACAATGAGGAACACGAGGTAGCCAAAGAGGCCCAGCAGGAAGACGAGCTCAGGAAGGGTCTCCAGCAGGAGCCGGTGTGCCTGGCCAAAGTGCCTGTGGGAACAGACCGGTCACAGAGGACTCTGGCCCCATAAAGACAGTGCCCATACCCATTGGCAGCTCTGGGCTCACATGTGGTTGAAGATGCTGAGGAATACCCCAAAGGCCATGTGGGTGACCCCAAGGATGACAGACATCTTCATCTTGAAGGAGTTGAGGAAGCTCAGGTGGTTGGTGGCCAGACTCCAGATCTGGGGTAGTGGGAGAGGTGGGCACTCAGGGACACCACGGTCAGCTTTGCTAGGACATCCCCCATTGTCTCTCATCACCTTCTTGCTCCCTGACAAACCCAAGCACAGCACCCTAGTCACTAGTTCTAAGAGGCAACCGAAGGAAGTGAACAGCTGCTCTGCTCTCACAGGTCAGTCAGGTTCAGGTGGCCGGGGCGCAAGCTTGCTTCTGCACAGCTGATGGCTCAGGCACCCAGGCCACTCTCCTCTGTGCAACAGGGTAATGCTAACGAATGTCGGTAGGACTGTCACTGGGACCGGTTGTTCACAAGTACTGGGCTGCTATTCTGTTCTGAGCTTTTGTTTGTGGAGAGAGAGGGTTTTATGTAATCCACGGATACACTTGAACTCTGATCCTCCTGCCTCCCACCTCCCAAGTGTCTGAATTACCCTTGTGCACCACTACACTCAGTCTGGATATTATTATTATTATTGTTATTATTATTTATTTATTTATTTATTTTTTTGGAGACAGGGTTTCTCTGTGTAGTTTTGGTGCCTGTCCTGGATCTCGCTCTGTAGACCAGGCTGGCCTCAAACTCACAGAGATCCGCCTGGCTCTGCCTCCCGAGTGCTGGGATTAAAGGCGTGCGCTACCACCACCCGGCTTGGATATTATTTTTACAGGCTTCTCTGCCTGTGTGCCAGGCCGAGCATGGGGCCCGACACACAGGAAGTGTTCAGTGCCAACCGCCAAAGGGGGCAGGGAACAGATGGATCTGTAGAGCCCTGGCCAGCCTCCCAATGCCTCCACCCCTCACATGCACCAGTGTGGCCCCACTTACCGGGTCAATGCCAAAGGGATAAGGTCCCAGGAAGACACCAGTGATGTTGGGGTTCAGGGTGAGCATGGGGTGCTGGGACAGATACTTGTCACTGCAGTGATAATAGATGATGTCAGGGCTGCACAGTGGGCCAGGGGCCCTGGATGGGTAGGAATACAGGTCCTACCTCCAGCCTGACTGGTTGGCCATGGCGGCCACACTCCACCCCGAGGGGAAAATGGCTGCGGCACGGCTGAAGCATTCATTGTAGATGAAGCCGGTGTAGACGGAGAACAGACCCATGAGCAGGAGTAAGTAGCGACCCCCAAAGAAGGTCTGCCAGATCTGGGGGGGACCGTGTGATGAGAGGCTGCTCCACTGTGTCAGAGCCCCTATCCCTGCCAGGTATGGATGGTTCATACCTCATTTTGTGCGGCTTTCACGGCTGGCCGGTTCTCAGTGAGGACCATGGCCAGGGCAAAGAGAAACATGAGCAGTCCGTGACCCACGTCGCCAAACATCACGGCGAAGAGAAAGGGGAAGGTAATGATGGTATAGGGAGCTGTGGGCAGACAGGACACAGTCAGGCAGGTTCCCATGGGGGCCTGGGTGTCTGCTTCCTTGTCTCGAGTTGCCACAGAGGCCCCCCAGGACCTGTCAAGAGAGTGTTGGTGAGGCAAGGACCACTTGCCAACAGGCAGAGCCCACCACCGTGCCCAACTGCACCGTCTTGGGCTTGTGATTTCGGCTCTGTGCCTGTTTCTCCACCTGTAAACTGGAGATCTCAGCCACCTGACAGGGTTAGTATGAGTGTCGTGGGCAGGCCTGCAGGTGCGGGGTGTGGGCAGAGGTGGAGCAGTTCCACCTGTAGTCAATTATCTAAAGATAGAGCTGCTGCTGAGTGGTCCAGGATGGTCTTGAACTCCTGAAGTGACCCTCCTGATGCTATTGTTTTCTGTTTGTGTATGCTAGGCTAGTGTGTGTGTGTGTGTGTGTGTGTGTGTGTGTGTGTGTGTGTGTGTGTGTAGGTCAGAGGATGACAACGGGTGTCATTCCCCAGAAACCTTTCCACTATGAGACATTGTCTGTCATCACCCTGGAACTTTACCAAGGAGCTGCCTGGCTCCAGCCCCCATCTCACCACCATTGGAATTGCAACCGTGCACTGCTGAACCTACATGGGCTTTGGAGATCCAAATTCAGGTCTTCAGGCTTTGCTGGCCTAGCCAGCCTCCCAGCTCTGTTGTTAAATGTTTCCTTAAATAACATTTATTTGCTAATTTATTATGGGGAAGGTGTGCATGGGTGGAGGTCAGAGGACAACTTGTCGTAGTTAGGCCTCCTACTATGTGAGTCCTGGAAATTGAACACAGATTGTCAGACTTACTGGCAAGCTTTTACTCAATGAACCATCTCTCTGGCCCTGAATGTTACATTTAAGATCTTTAAGCTAGGCATGATGGCTCATACCTGTAATTCTAGCACTCAGGAAGCTGAGGCAGGAGGATCACCATGAGCTCAAGGTCAATCTAGGCTATAGTGTAAGACCCTGTCTCAAGCCAGGTGTGGTGGCGCATGCCTTTAATGAGCACTCAGGATGCAGAGCCAGGTGGATATCTGTGAGTTCAAGGCCAGCCTGGTCTATATAGAGAACTCCAGGACAGTCGGGACAACACAGAAAAACCTGTCTCGAAAATAACCAAAAACCAAAACAACAACAACAACGAAAGTACAAAAGAAATCAAAAGAGAGGGAAGAGGAAACAAAAGCTTCACAGAAAACCACCCAGAGGGCAGAGAGCGGCTGGTCCTGCTGGCCACTCAGCAAGTTCCAGAATTCCAAGCTGGTTAATCTCAAGAATGGGTGTTGGGAGGAGCATCCCAGTGCACATGCCTAATTAGGGGTTACCCTGTGATCCCTTCAGGAGCTAGACTGTCACCCTACAGCCCAGAACCTCAGAATGTGACCTGGAGGGGTCTTTAAAGAAGGTCAGGTTAGGAGGAGGCTCCAGAGTGGACTTTGACTCCGTGTTCAGTGTCCTTATACAGAAGGAGACATTTATTTGAACATAGAGGAAGAAGAAGACCACATGGCCATGACAGCCATCGACAGCCCAGGAGAAAGACCTGGAACAGATTTCTCTCTAACAGATGGGACGGTGCAGCCGACACCTTGACCTCAAACATCCACCCTCCAGAACCCTGAGTCCATCTATGCTGGTTTATTATGTAGCTAAGGCTGGCCTCGAACCCCTGCTCCTGCTGTCTGCCTCAGGCATCTGCACTACACTCAGTCATCTCCGCCACTTAGCCACCTTCTGCCCATTCACAGAACTTCACTGCAGTGGTTCTAGCAAAGAACAACCCCTCCTCCAAGGCCAGCCACTTTGAAGGCTGACAAGGGGACAGCCACCATGGGCACCCGGTGGTCACGGCCTTCTCCCTGCACCGGCAGGGACCCAGATCGAGCCCAGGATTCTGGTTCTGAGGCACATGTCCCCAGGACGTGCAGCTACATGTCTACAGGGTCTCAGACTGACCCCAGCCTGTCATCAAGGCCCCTTCCCAGAGCGGCCAAGCCTACACTCGGGGGCACTGGGGCACCTCTTTCCGCCTGCTCCTCCTCACAGTCCCATCCCTGTGTGGGTTCTCTCCAAGAGTAGCAGCACTGACAGACATTTCGGGCTACCTGGCCCACTTCTGAGGGTTCTACTGACCTGCCTGGCTCCCCTCTCACCGCAGGAGAACTGGGATTACATATGTGCATTACCGCACTCAGCTTTTATGTAGGCTCTGAGGATTCGAACTCGGGTCCTCACACTGTTGTTGAAAGTACTTTACCCACTGAGCCTTGAACTCTCTATGTAGCTGAGCATGACTGAATTATTATTATTATTATTATTATTATTATTATTTATTTGTGTGTGTGTGTGTGTGTGTGTGTGTGTGTGTGTGTGTGTGTGTGTGTGTTTCAAGACAGGGTTTCTCTGTGTAATAGCCCTGGCTGCTCTGGAACTTGCATTGTAGACCAGACTGGCCTCAAACTCAGAGATCCTCCTGTTTCTGCCTCCCAAGCACTGGGATTAAAGGTGTGCGCCACCAGCGCTGGGCTATGACTCTGAATTCTTGATCCTCCTGCCTCCACCTCCTGAGTGCTAGGATTATAGGCTACACCACCATGCTCAGTTTCTGCTGAGGACTGAGCCCATAAACTTTCAAGCACTCTATCAACTGAGCTCCATCCTCACCCCTGTTCATTCCAACTTGGAAAAAAACGCAGCATGGCCAAATAAGCCGTCACTACAGGCTGCCCCGGCCACTCTGAGACAGCAGCCTTCCTCACACTTCTCTGAAGTCTGCGCTATCATTCTCATTTTACAGGCCAGGAAAAATGAGACCCACAGAAACTAAGAAACTCATCCAAACAAGTGAGCTGGACTTCAAGCCCCTCCCAAGCCTGGTTTCTGAACTGATCCATGCTGGCTCCCTGTGGATTTAACAGCAGAAACAAGTCTAAAGTCCCAAAGGGGACTAAATCAAACTGGGGAGTATGTCTCTGTCGCAAAAGGATGGGGTGAACCCAGCTCCTACACTCTCAAGGTCGGCATCGCAAAGGCAAAAGGACTTCCTGAGACCCTGACAGAGGATGGGAAGGCTGGCCTCTAATGGGGTACAGTAGCTCTCACCAGGGTTGACTTCTCGGTAGCGGCCCACACCATAGGCATCCACAATGCCCTGGAAGCTGGCGGTGAAGCGGTTGGTCCGGATGAGGGTTGGAGGCATGTCCCGGCAGGGTATACGATGAGCAACAGCACTCACTCCTGCCTCACTCTGGGGTGCCCAGTGGAGAGGCAGAAGTGATGGAGGGGCACTCAGAAACCCTGAAGCCCCCACCCAGGCCCAGCTGAAACAGTCCACAGCAATTTCTAGGTTGAGGCTGGGATGGGATGGCATGGAGGAAGTTGGTCAGCTCCACCCTGCCCAAATCTGGGGCATTTGAAAAAAGAAAGTGTGCCTCTTCACATCTGGTGGTCCAGGAGAGGGACCCATCCCCATCCTGGAGATCCAGCCCTGAACCACCAGGTGTGTGCTACAATGTCCTTGTGTGTACCACCACTGCACCACTGGTAAGGGGCCCGAGGCTCCTAACAGGCTCAGATCACATACCACTGCCTTGGAAGTGCAATTTTATAATTGTCTTGTATAGCTTGCCAGAGACTCTGGGAAATCAGAAGGGAGGGCTATGGGGCCAGGGCCATCAGGGTAATGCCCTGGGGGAAGAGGCTTCTAGGAAATGGACCCCCTCCCGATCCCAGGGCAAAGATGAGGTACTGGAAGCTTGAGGTGGGGCTGGAAGTAGAAGGAGAAAAGGCAGCCTCTGGCAGCCTGTGTGCTCACTGAGCCATCCTGGAGCGCCTGCTGGAGGGTGGGCAGGTCCCGCGTGGCACACCAGACCTCCGCAATGAGGCACTTGTGTGTGGTGCTCACACTGCACTGGTTGAGGGCCAAGTACACGGCCTTCATCTTGCGGATCTGCACTTGCCCTGGTGGCAGCAGCCGCTGCACCCGGCCCAACACCTGGCTCAGGAATCGCTCCGTTTCCCCCAGGACCTGGAGCCAGAACAGGTAATCAGAAGGGGCACTGAGGGAGCCAGCAGGGGTCAGGGCATGTGGGTGCTCACCTCCTGAAGCTCCTGGCTCTGCTGCTGCAGCTGCTGCAAGGCCGCATGCCGGGCTTCCTCTTGCTCCAGGTAAGGGAAGACATGGCAGTGGAAGCTGGAGGTATAAGGGGTTTTGAGGGAGCCACCAGGCAGAGCTGGTGTCAGGACAGATTTGGTGTTATCAGGGACCTGGGACACACTGGGCCAGAAACATCTAGCTGGGAGCCTAAAGTGGAGGCTGGGGGCTGGACACCTGCAGAGGCCGAGTGGCCACACACACACACACACACACACACACACACACACACACACACACACACAACTCACCAGTCTGTGATCTTTCTAATCTTCTGACCGATCTGCTCACCCCAGTAGGAGATGATAAAGGTCATCCAAGTTGCAGGCTCACCCTAAGGGAGTCAGGCTTAGTTGATCCCTGGAGCCCTGGCTCCTCGAAAACCTCCCCCACCCTGCCCCCTGCCAGCTCACCGTCACAGGGTCCTCCAGCTGCCCCTCTGTCTCCTTAAAGCTGGCAATGAGGAAGCCGCGGCAGGCTCTCCAGAGCAGGCGCTCCAGGGCAGCAGCCTTGTAGGGTTCCACAGCACCTGCCACAAAGCTGCCAGCAGGGCTGGAATGGGGCTGCAGCCTCCCATCCCACCACCTCACCAGGAAGCACCCCTAGGGACATTCCCACAGGGCAGAGACTCAGGGGCCATTCTGTTCCCTTCTCTGGCCAGTGCCCTAAGACTGATAGGAAAAGACAAAGTGCCTCACTCACTTGACCTTCAGGTCTGCATGTGGCCCCCGAGCAGCTGGAAGCAGGGGTGTTCTCTCAGAGGAGGGTCCCTCAGTGTGGTCAGCTGCCATCTGGGCACCAAGAGACACTGTGAGCCCCAGCCCAGGTTGGGCTTGGCATAGCTGTCTCCTGCCCCATCCCTGCCTTGGCTGGGGCTGACCGGGGGGTTGTGGTTCTGGCCCAGCACGGCTGAGTGGAGCTGCAGCTGGTGCAGCTGGGCCCGCAGCGCCTGCTGGTTGCCTCGAACATCCCGAAGCTCCCGGGCCAGGCGGTCGGTCTCCTCCTGGATGCGCAGCAGCTCTCGGGGAGGTGGTGCTGGCAGTGCCCCCTCTGCTGGGGGCAGTGCCAGACCAGCCCGCTGTACTTCCTCCTGCAAGAAGGCTAGACACAGAAAGGGGGTCGGGGGAAGCCACACCAGGGTTATGCCAGCTCATATCTACCGTGAGCCAAGGGCTGCAGACATGTAGGGAGATCCCAAATGCTCATCAAGTGCTATTACTAATCCACTAAGTCAGAGCTCTGCTCCCCCTGCTCTGCCCTCATCTTTGGCCTAAGAAGAAGCTGCCCAGCCCTCGACCTGGCCTCTGCCCATGCCAGTCCATCTAGAGGAGAAGGCTCAGTCCATGCCTCTTGTTTCCTGCCATCCACAGGACGAGTTCTGAGGTGTGGACCTACTTCGAGCCACCCTGCCTTCGGTCCTCTGCTCCAGCCACCCAGAGCCATGGACACCCTGAAGACCCCAGCAGCTCCGCCTGGTCCTGCCTGCCCCTCCCTTCTTTGCCTTCACCTGGGTAACTGAGGCACTTCCTCCCAGACCAAGCCCGCCGAGTGCTCCTTCCAGGAAGGCAGCCTGGAATGTGGGCCTGAGCCCAACTTACTGAAGGTCTTCTCCAGCTCCTCGCAGCGCCGGACGTCCGCCACGAAGCGCCTCTGGAAGGCACTCACAGATGCGTTGAGCTGTGAAGGACACACAGAGTCTCGGGGAGGGGACCAGGAGGTCACTGCTCTGGGGTCTAGGCCTGAGGCACCTCCTCCAAAATGTTGCTGGGTGCCCAGTTAGTCTAAAGATGAGCTGAAGCAGATTCACCCATGCCAGGAAGGGCATGAGTCGGTATGGGTAGAGCACCTGTGCTGGAAGGTAGGACTGGGATGCCCCCACAGGGGGTCAGGGGTCATCATGGGGCCATTCTGGACGTGGGTTACCTGCCCAGGGCTCCGTTCCCACTCACATCTCTGAACTCCACGAGGCCCAGCTCGCCCAGCTGGCTCACGCAGGTGTAGGCAGCTGCTGTGGGCAGCAGGAGTTGGACCAAGGCCACCTCTTCACTCCGGAACATGGAACCCATGACCCTTAGGACAGGCAAAAAGGTTGGTCAGGAGCCTGCTCCAGGCAGGCATCACACACCTGTTCCCATCCACTGGACAGATGGGGAAACTGAGGCCCAGCAAGGGAAAAAGGAAGCCAGCAGTATAACAAAGCATGGAGCAGGCCAATGAGCCCACAGCCTACTATAGGCTGTCTCTAAGCTCACTCTCCATGGCCTCCTTGTCCCAGCCCAGCTCAGCAGCTGCCACACACTGGCTCTGCCCACTGTTCTGCAGTACTGTACCGCCTCTCTGCCTGCCCTCACTCTAGATCTGGCTTATCCCTGGGATCCTGGGCCCCAGGCCTGAGGCTCTGACAACGGAGCTGTCCAGCCTGCCTCCTTACATAGGCAGTGGGGTGGGGATGGAGTGTCCCCCTAGGTCCCCTGGGGCTAAAAACCTGAAGAGGATGATGGCTGGGGTTGCTTTTGGCAGGCTGGCTTGGTGTTGAAACCAATGAAAGTGAAACCGTGAAACCATGAACGGGAAGGCCTGGTGGCCTTGCTCCAGCCCCAGCAGGTACAAACATTTCCTGCAGATGCCCCCAAAGCCAACACTCTCCCCAGGCCCCTGCCTGTCTGTAGCTATGGCTCTTAGGCTCAGGGTTCCAGTGGGACACAGTTTCCTCGGCACACCATTAAGTGGAACTTTAGAGACTAATGGGCCCAGCTTGCTGTCTGGGCCTGCCCACAGGCCACTTCCTCCCCAAGGCCTGGTTTTCTTAACTTAAGAGGAAACCACAGTCCTGTCCCTAGCCTGGGAACAGAAAGAATTCAGAGGGTAGTCTAGGACTTCAGAAGAGCCAGGCCCTGAGCAGGCAAGGGTGGGCAGGAAGGGCTGGGTGCCATTACCCAAGAGCATGGCTCTGGCCACAGAGCAGGGGGTCAGGGACCAAGTCTCTGGGGTCTTGCCCAGATTGTGATCACCTGTGTGACACTAAGCAAGTCATTTGCCCTCTTTGGGCCCATATTTCCTCTTCGTTGAATAAGACTTAGCCAAGCAGGGCGGTGGTGGCACACCCCTTTAAACCCAGCACTCGGGAGGCAGAGGCAGGTGGATCTCTGTGAGTTCGAGGTCAGCCTGGTCTACAAAGAGAGTTCCAGGACAGCCAGGGCTGTTACACAGAGAAACCAAAAAAACAAAACCAAAAAGACTTGGCCACCCCTGGCAGGAAAGGTAGGACGTGAGTGGGAAGGTGAACAAAAGATCAGAAACCTTGTGTCTTCTATAAACACCACGTCAATCAATAACCAGCACCCCAGCCTTATCTTTGTCTTTTCTTCTTTTGGTTTTCCGAGACAGGGTTTCTATGTATAGCCAAGACTGTCCTGGATCTCGCTCTGTAGACTAGGCTGGCCTTGAACTCACAAAGATCCACCTACCTCTGCCTCCTGAGTGCTGGGATTAAAGGAGTGTGCTACCACCACCACACAGGCCCACCCCAGCCGTATCAGTAAGGTGAAGTCTAAGGTCACAATGGTCAGCTAGGACCAAACCAGAGAGGGGTCTGCCCCAGACTAGCGGGAAGCTGCTCTGCCGGGTCATGTTCTACCTGTTCCAGCACCATAACCAACATCACCAAGCTGCCCCAGCCGTGGAACCCCAGCCATCTAGACACAAGACAAATAAAAGTACCTCCATGCCCCCTGCGGTCCATACCATGCACTGTGATTTAATAACTCCTGTCTCCTGCAGCCAGCAGGGCATCTGTGGGCTGGACTCACATGTAACACTTGAGCTCCGGCTTTCCCAGACGCCCTGAAATTCGGCTTCACTCCTGCACTCCTTTCTTGGTCCTTCCTTCGGCCCCACGCCTCTTCTCCCAGCCCCTGCCTTTTGGAGGATGACGGCACGAGGAGGGGTTGGAATCCGCCTCGAGCCCCACCACTTCCTAGTTGGCTGGCCTCTGTTTCCTCATCTGTAGAATGGGTTCCTCCCTCCGAACCAGACGCAGAAGGGGGATTCCTGAGCCCAGGCCTGGTGAGGTGGGCCCCGAACTTGCCCAGAGCTAGCAACCCATCTTCCCGCTCCTCCTTGCGGCCTGTGCACCCCATACGGCCTGAAACGGGCGCGTGGCCTCTGAGCTTTCTCCACCCGAAGTCGGGCGGGGTGCCGGGTCCATTGCCCGGGCAGAGGAAGCGGGCGGTGGGCAGGGATTAGGCTCCGCAACCCCGCAGGACACTCACCCTGGTGGGCGCGTCGCTCAGCTCCGGCTTAGGATCTGAGCCTGCCAGCGGGCGGGAGCAGCTCACTCCAGCTCCGAAAGGCAGGGAGTGGGCGTGGTCTGTGGTGGCCCCGCCCACTGCCGTCCCGTCCCGCCGAGTTCTGGGAGGAGGGGTTGGGAGGAAGGCGGCGACTGAGAAGGTTCTAGGTGGCCTGGAATCGTTTAGTTCCAGGGACTGGGAGATAACCGACAACCGGGGTGCGGGGTAGGACCTTGGTGGATAGGCCACTTTCCCTTCTCTCTTAAGAGCTATGTCCTGATGGGTCCTAGTACACACAGTCCAAGATCTGTTGCTACCTCACCTCACCCAGCTCAGTCTAAGGGTCCCAGGAAGGCTGGGGCAGAGCTGCCCCACTCTTTGGGTACCTCTCCGCTGGCAGCAGGGCGTTTGTCAGGCCAGTCTCCGCTGAGGAACTTACACCCAGGAGGCCAGGAGACTCCTGGCCTTGAGGTCCTAGTGTCTGGAAACTGGGATTCAGCACTGTCCAGCTGCCTGCACTTTGGACAGGCTGGACTGTACCCACTGGGGACCAGAGGGACAAGGGGCCCCTCAGCTCTGGTGATCCTTGGACCCCATACAGTAAACAGGGGCCTTGATGTGTGTGTGGAGTATAGAACGGAAGCCTAGGGCTACGCAGAAACTGAGTTAGTCAAGGTGGGCATCCTCAGAAAACAGAGAGGTGTGTCACAGGTCTGATCTGACTTGGTGTGAGAAGGACCCTCATACAAGTAGCCCAGGGGTCACAGGTCAGTGCTCTTCAGTGAGGGCAAACCCACAGGGCCACAGAGCTGTTATGGATGCACTGAGGTAGAAGTGTGCCTTCGACCATGAACACCAAGCCAGCAGCCAGCCTCCCAGAGTGTGTGCATCCATGGAGCACCCAGAGTCAGAGGAGCCACACAGCTGGGCTGGGACTGGAAACCGGGAAGTTGCAGCCGCACAACAGCCTGAGTGGGGAACTGGGGGAAACGGATGTAGCAAGAGGCGAAGCCAGCTCAGAGGCAGCAGACCTGTGTCATTCCCTTGTGACTGTTACCCCACAGCAGGCTTCCCGTTCCCCAAAGGACACCCTGGCCTTCTTGCATGTGTGTGTGTGTGTGTGCAGGCACACTCCGGTGCAAGCACATGTGTAGCCTGAGCTCGAAAGCAGGATCGTTCCTCAGTTGCCCACCACCTTTGTCATTTTTGAGACAGGGTCTCTCATTGAACCCGAAGTTGCCATTTTGATGAGACTGACGAGCCAGTGAGCCCTCTGGGATCCCTGACCCCACCCCCAGCAGTGGGTAGCATTCGCCTTTTCTGAGCATTCTCAGGCTAGGAACACTTTATTCACTGAGCCTTCTACCCTGCCTCCTCCTGAGGGAGGCTCTTGATGGACTCTGGCCTGAAGCCTGGGAAGGCTCCAAGTCCAAACAACCGTAGTGATGGAGGTCTGAGAAGATAGAAGACCTGCGGCCCACCTCTCACACACCCAACGCCATGGGGACAACAGGCCCATGGTGACCTGCATTGCCACGCCCCGGGGAGAAACCCAGAAAATGTGTGATATGGTTCTAGGTCCTGTGGCCAGCCACAAAGAGGTTCTCTGGGCCTGTGAACCACAGAGGATGACTGGGCTCTGCTCTGTTAGGTCTTGTGGGCATGCAAGCTGCTGGAAGCCATTCAGGAAGCAAAGTCAAAGGTCCACGCACACCTGGTCTAGTCAGAGGAAGCCCCAGGCCCCAGGCTGTGTGGGGTGGGTTCCATCTGAGCAAACAGACACAACACAACAGGCAGCTGTAGGATCATAGCTTCTTTATGGGCAGCAGGGGCTACGGGACCGAGCCACGTGGCCAGGTCACCGGTACAGGTAGTCGGCCTGGATGTTGGCGGAGATCTCGGCCTCCCACTTGTCCCCATTATTCAACAACTTCTCCTTGTTGTACAGTAACTCCTCATGAGTCTCGGTGGAGAACTCAAAGTTGGGGCCCTGCAAGAGGGGGGACAGTCAGCAAGGCAACCCCCTCCCAGGAGCCTCTGTGCTGGCCACCTCACCCGGACCCACTCACCTCCACGATGGCGTCAACAGGGCAGGCCTCCTGGCAGAAACCGCAGTAGATACACTTGGTCATGTCGATGTCATAGCGTGTAGTCCGGCGGCTGCCATCGGCTCTTGGCTCAGCCTCGATGGTGATGGCCTGAGGGAGTGGCCACAGGTCACTGCCACACAGGCAGGCACCTCCTGGTCCTGCCCCTCACAGCTCAATCTGGCCCCTGGGGGGTCTGCATGGATGCCCACACATCTCAGACCCCTCCTCAGCCCTCCAGAGGAGCCACCTCTCATATGGCCCCATTAGCCTCTGCCAGGTTTTTGCTCAGCACCTGCCCAGGTGACCCTCCTGTCTCACAAGGAAAAGGCTACGATCTGCTTTGATCCTTGAAAACCTGTGGCCGGGTGGTGGTGGCACATGTCTTTAATCCCTGCACTTGGGAGGCAGAGGCAGAGGCAGGTGATCTCAGTGAGTTCGAACTCAGCCTGACCTACAAAGAGAGTTCCAGGACAGCCAGAGCTGTAACACAGAGAAACCCTGTTTCTAAAAACCAAAAAGAAAACCTGTGGCCCTGAGAGGTCCCCTGGAACAGGAAGCGCCCAATGACTGTCAAGTTGAACCACCTTTCTGACAATCCCCATTTGTTGGAGAAAATTAAGACTCAGGTCGAAGGATTTCCTGAAGTCGCACAGTAGTGAGGGACACAGACCAAATCTGAAGGTGTACCTTTAACTGTTGGTTCCTGGGGGAACAGCTGTATGCCAGCCAAGAGTAAAAAGGGACAGCCTGGGACCCACAGGCCAGGAGACTCTTGGGCATAGCCAGGAGCCGGGCATGGCAGGTCTCAAGGCTGGACCTGCGGGGCTCCTGCTAGGCACACCAAAGCCACCTCTGCATCTTCCTGTTTCCACAAACAGCCCCAACTGCAGATGTTCCCCATAGCACCCACGAGCACAGTCCAAAGCCAAGGCCCTGAGAGCAGCCACTGGGACGGGAGCCTTGGCTGCATGTCCTCGGCTCAAATCCAGGATGGGCACACAGAGAGGACTCCTGAAACTACTCCATGGCTCCTGAGCCCAAATGCTACGTGATCTACTGACTCCTAGGGTGGGACGTGGGTATGCCACATGGTCTGCTTGGGATGGAGGCTGCCACCGGCTTCCTGACTCGGCACCTGACATCAAGAACTCACTGTCCCACTCACAGGGTCATGGTTAGGACTTTCGTCAGGGGTTGTGACAGTGCATGTCTTTATCAGGAGTCCAGAGGCCGAAGCAGGCAGATCTCTGTGAGCTCAGGGCCAGCCTAGTCTACACAGTGAGTTCTAGGCCAGCTGGGAATAACCAGTTGGACTGTCCTAAACGAAAAAACGAAAGGGACTTTCCCGGGATGTGTATCAAGGTAGAGTTAGATTTAGAGCGTACCTGTGCAGGACAGATGGCCTCACAGAGCTTGCAGGCAATGCAGCGTTCCTCCCCGGATGGGTAGCGGCGCAATGCGTGTTCCCCACGGAAGCGTGGACTCAGCGGGCCCTTCTCAAATGGGTAGTTGATGGTGGCGGGCTCCCGAAAGAGGTAGCTCAGGGTCATGCCCAGTCCTGTGAGCAGCACAGAGCTGGCAAGGGGCTGTTCTCCTCCCCAGCACACCCACACCTGACTCCCACTTCCCCCCATTGGCGCCCACCTCGGAAGAGTTCTGTCCACAACAGAGTCCGAGCTGCACGGTCAGTCACGGACTTCATGTCCATCTCCAACTCTGACACATTCACATACTCTGCAGGAGTCAGGATGGGAGGTTAAGGAATCTGGCTCTGGAAGGCGAGGCCCAACTCTCAGCTCTAGGTGGGGCAGGTGGGCGGTGGGCTCTTAGTGAGGGCCCAGGGAAGTCAGTCTGCAGCCCTGGGAAGCTTTGCTGGTTCCTTTCTGCCCAGGTAACCCAAAGAGCCCCCAAGCAAAGCTTTTCAAGTTCAAGGGTGTCGGGGCCTGGGTCCCCCCAGTGGGTCTAGCAGCTCCTCTAAAGCACACGCCTCCCTCCTTCAACGCCACCACAATGCCCGTGAGTCACATCTCTTGATCACCACCTTCATTTTCAGAGTGGAAACTGGAGCTAGCAGAAGGGCCCTGGCAAAGCAGCAGTTTCCCCGGGTGTGACCTCGATCGGGAAAGCCTAAGTCAGAAGACACCATCCGGTACTCACTGTAGGTGGCTGCCACTGCACTGCTATGAAGGCTTCGGCCACTGAGATGTCCTGCAAGGAGAGGGGGGAAACTCTGCTGCTGTGACTTCAGGCCAGAAAGCTTGGCTCCCCTAAGCCCAGGAAAGGCTCCCTGGTCCTACCTGTGCGCACGGCCTGGGCCAAGGCCCGTGGTAGCACGACTGAGGTCAGACGGTACATCTGGAACATGGAAAGGAAGGGAGGTGAGGGGTCTAAATCTGCCCTCCTCAGGACCTGCTCACACACCATCCCAGCCGAGACCAGCACCCCCAACCCTCCAGCTGACCTCACTCTGCTAAGACTCACGCGACCTGGCACCCCAAGCTCCTTCTACTGTAGTTCCTAAGAAGCTTATTTGATCCACTTCCCCTCTACTTCTCATCCGCAGCTCACACCAAAACACCCTGACCACCACGACAGTGCACTGAGTTAACCCTGAGCCAGGCTTCACGCCAGATGTCACAAGCCGTCATCCTGACATACTGACTGCCCCAAAGTTAATGGCTTTGGAACCAGGACAGGGACCCAGAAGTCACCTGCAGAAAAACCTTAACGGTTTAAATAATCCTCAGGGTCAAGTTCCTCTCCCCAACCCAGGGACCTGCTGGAACTCTGTCCAGCCTGCCTAGTGACCTTGGGCAAACGATGTCCCCTGGCCTCGGGCATCTCGCCTTCGACATAGGGAGGGAGGGTCCCGAAAACTAGGGATGTATGCAGTGAAGGGGATGTTGGCTGAGAGCCTGGCACTTTACCAACGCTCCAAAGAGCCCCTCCTGTGACCTTTGACCTCAAGCGGGTCTGCCAATTCTTGACCCGTGACCCCAGGCAATCCTGGAGCCCAACCAACCACTCTCTCTCAGACCTTCCCCTTGACCTCTGACCCTACGAACGCAGAAGGCATCCGGCAAGGCAGCGCATGCGCCTGAGGGTGCAGGCTTCCCGGCCCTACAGCTCGCAGAAGGACGGAGAGGCCACAGGTCCCAAGCCGACCCGCCAGATCCCAGACTTCGCGGAGTGAGCGGTGACACCACGTTCAACCCCGTCGTCACGCCACCCAGGCCCTGCCTTCGCCGCCTTGCCCTGGACACCCACCTTGAGGCGCGCCGGCTCCTTCCCTGGCCCAGGTGCGGCTCAGCCGGGAGGCGGAGCCTAACTTCGGGAGGCTGCCATTGGCGGGCTACTCAGGCCTTTTTTATTTTTCTCCCGATGTCCTTGCCTGCTGTGGCCTGATTGGCCTGTGGTGCGGCTGCAGGAGGCGGGGCCAGAATTATCTTGTCTCTGATTGGCTGATGGGAACAGGCGCTTGAAGTTTTGTAGGGAGCTGCCATATTGTATCGGAGAGGTCAGTACGCGAGACTTCCGAGCTGCTAGAGGTGGGACTTCCTGGGCGTGGTTTGGGACTTTGGGACCGCCCCGGTGGGTGGGGCATGGCGGTGTGACTCATTTGAATATTGTAAAGGTGGCGACCGCTACTCTGCGCCAAAGCGCAGTCACAAGGCTTCATCTGGTTCTCGTAACAGCCTCGGGTAGCAGGACGTTCATAAGTCTGCCCCTGTGACTAGAGAGCCATGAGGCGATCTGCATGTCTTGTTTGGAGTCGTCAGGGAAGGCTTCCTTTAGGAGGTGGTGTCTAAGCTGGCGCTGAGGAGTCCAGCAGGCCAGGAAGGTCAAACACCGGGCCGGGAGAGGAGACAGGACGTCAAAAATTTAGGTTTTTAGCAGTTTAGTGGCTGGAATGTTTCACCCCTGAGGAGGATGGGGAGGATGGGCGAGGAGTCGTTGGGGGAGGGATCTTAGCCTTTTAACAGGGTGGCAACACCTCGCTCCAAAAAGAGACAAGACACCTGTAGCTTGGGGTCAGCCCTCCTGCTTTAATACTCCCAGCGACCACAGGTCGTTAATTCAACCTCCTTATACAGCTAGAAAACCGAGGCTCAGAGGACCCAGACATGCCTCATCACAGGATTGGCCTGTGCCAGATACCACTGATTCCCTCAAACACTATCCACAAGAAGGTGGGTAGTTCAGAAGTGCCTGTTTTCTCCCCGATTCCATGGCTAGCACTGGGGGAGACAGGTCACAGCGCCTCTCCTCACATTCCCACCCTCAGCCTACACCAGTCAGAACAGTCAAAGAGACCCAAAAAGGGAAGTCCCAGAAGGAGGAGGGCTGAGCACCCTGCTCTGTGGCCTGGGCCCTAGCAGGCCATTTCCTCAGCGGCTGTGTCCCAGGGAGGGCTCCTGTGGCCGCAGTTCCCCTCACAGCAGTGTGCAGCTGCAGCTTCTCTCCTCCATGGCCACCAGGAGCACCCTGAGGTTTCGCCTGGAGTAGGGCGGGTAACGAAGGTCGTTGATTTTCTCCATCCTGGGGCTGCGCAGCAGACAGGCACGCTGGTTGGAAAAGGTGTCGAAGGAGAACTTGCCGTGGTACCTGCCCATCCCGCTCGATCCTGTGGGCAGCATGGAACACAGGGGTTTAGGTCCTTAGTGGCCGGCTGAGGGGACATCACATAGACTTTGCTCTGACAAGTGGGCTGTCTGAGCCTCTTTCCCTATTTGCTCATTGAGCTAATCGCAAGACATGGATAGAAAAAGGCGGAGCCTTGAACCTGCCGCCAGACCAGTATGCCAGGTTTTGGTGTGGGACAGGCAAACTGAGGTCAAGGGCATGAATTCTCCAGCCAGGCTACCCAAAGTTGAATCCCAGCCCTGTCCTAAACAGGTATGTCACTTTGGGCAAGTGACTGACAGTGGCACCCTCCTAGGGCTACGGTAGACATCTTCAAACCTGTGTATTTTCTGGTGTCCGGGAAGGGAGAAGGACTCAGCCCAGAAAGTCCAGGCAACATGACCTGGATGGAGTTGGGAGTAATGAAGCTGGCTTGTTGGAATGAGTGAAGCCAGAGAAATGTGGAATCAGCCAGAGAGAGTGTGGGTGGGGAAAAAAGGGGGGTGGGGGACTCTGGCTTGGGGACAACTCCGCCGTGAAGGCGGGTGACATGTCAGGGCCAACCTCAGTAACTGCCACAGCAGACTAAGAGAGGGGAATAGGAGCAGGACTCCAGGGCAAGACCTGGACAGGACAGACCGTGCTGTCACTCCGATACCGAGTATGACCAGGTGGAAGGACCAGAATGCTTTCAATGAGGAAGTAGGCTCCAAGAAGAAGCGACTGCCTGGGTCACGTGCCTGTGGGGCTTGCTGGGATATAGCTGTGAAGTTTGCAGTTGTGTGTGGGGTGGGACATCTCCGCATCCCAGGCCTCCTGGAAGCAGAGATGCGCAGAGCTGGATTCACAGGGAGCTGGGAAAGCTGAAGGAGCGTCATCTGACCCTACCATGGAGTTGAAGGCACCAGGGTGAATGGCTGAAGACTGGGAAAAAGTCAACGAGCTCCGTGGCTGGAGGCAACTAGTATCTTTTTACAAAACCTACCAAAATGATCTCTCTGGGTTCTCACCTACATGTTTAAGTGCAAGCACCCCTGGAAGATCCCCCACAGCTGGAGGGAGGTGGGAGGCAGGCTAGATGGACACGGACTGTGGAGAGGGACTTCCTCTCGTGTCCGCTGCACTGAGAGTAGGCTGCATGTTCTGCAGTTAGTGTGCTGGAGCAGTGGGGTGGGCATGCAGCCGTGGAGCAGCCCAGGAGGGCAGAGCTCTGCTGCCACCTACCCACTCCTCCAAAAGGAAGGCTGGACAGGGTCATGTGCATGAAGCCATCGTTCCCGCAGAAGCCCCCGCTGCTGGTCCGCGCCAGGACCTGTTTAATCACCTGGGAGAGAAAGAGGAACTTGTAAAACATCTGGTTGTACCTTGTTTCAGTAAGGGCCCGAGGTCCAAGATAGGCCCAATGGAACAGACTCACGAACTCCACCCTAGGGACATGTTCTCTGTGTATATGTATGTGGCCCTGGCAGGGGGTTGCGACACAAACCCAAGGAGAAGTCATGAGACCTGGTATCACCTAGGAAAAGGCAGAATGGCACATAAGGTGACTGCTGAGTCTTGTGTGACAGCTTTCAGGAGAGTAGGGAGAGGGAAGGGAGGGGCTTTGTAGGGAGAGTTTGGGAAGCTAAGGCCAGGTTTGAACTCAGCAGCCTAAGACTGGCCTTGCCTGACTTCCTGAAGGGTTTTCCTGCAGCCTGCAGGTCTGAGACGGCCGGAGGGAAAGGAGATAGGTTTGCTCTACTTAATGTAATGCTGTCCAGTGAGGACAGCTCTCAGTTGGGCCTTGTCTGGTGAAGTGGATCCCACCAGGGAGCAGCATTGCCTCAGCCTGAGGCTGCCAAGAACCACGGTCACACCTGAGGATGAGCAGGCTGGAAGACAGCCTGACTTAGGACCAGTGCTGGGTTCTAGAGACTTTGAGGGACAGTTGGCCTTACTGCCAAAAGGGCTGTGATGTGATTTCTTTTTTGTTGTTGTTATTTTTCAAGACATTTGTTTCTCTGTGTAGCCCTGGCTGTCCTGGAACTTGCTCTGTAGACCAGGCTGGCCTTGAACTCAGAGATCCACCTGCTTTTGCCTCAGCACTGGGATTAAAGGCGTGCGCCACCAGCACCTGTCTTGTGTTGTGTTTTCTAAAGGTTCCACAGAGGTGGGGCTGAGATAGTCCCAGCAGGGCCCTCACTCACATAGAACAATGGAGGAAGTGGTCACTGAGCGGCCCAGGACAGAATGGCGGCCGGGGTAGTTAAACCCAGCGTCAGGTATGGTAGTGTTGCCTGTAATTACACTGGCGGAGTAGTAGGGCCCGGGGTTCAAGGTAATCCTCAGGCTAGCCTGAGCTGTTTGAGACCCTGCCTCAGAAACAGTCAGTGGGTACAGACACTTGCTGCCAAGCCTGACAAACTGACTTTGAAATACACATGGTAGAAGGAGAGAGCTGACTCCCTCAACTCAGTCAACGGACTGTCACACAAATGCCGTGACATGCACACCTGAAGACATGCAATAAACAGATGTTTAAAAAAATGCTTTAAGCCGGCAGTGGTGGTGCACGCCTTTAATCCCAGCACTCGGGAGGCAGAGCCAGGTGAATCTCTGTGAGTTCGAGGCCAGCCAGGTCTACAGGGTGAGATCTAGGACAGGCACCAAAACTGTACAGAGAAACCTTGTCTTGAAAAAGCAAAGAAAAAAAAAAGAAGAAAAAAAAATCCTTTTAAGGCTGGGACCAGCGACATGGTTCAGTGGATAAAGGGACTTGCTACCAAGCCTAATGACCTAAGATTGATTCCCAGGACCCACAAGGTAGAAGGAGAGAACTGACTCCTTCAAGTTGTCCTCTGACCTCTACATGTTCACACAGATACATAAAAATGTGATACAAAGTGTTAAGCCAAAACCATGCACCAGACTCATTCTAACTGAATAAACAGCCCAGGAGACAAGTCTTTCCCCTGGATCGAGAACATTTCTACAGTAACATGGTAGCCACCCCCTCCATAGAGAGGGCTCTAGCACACTGCCTGGCCAGCACAGAGGCTCGCTCAGATACTCAAGACAGGACAGAATAGCTCTGAGCAGAGTCTTCTAACAGACACAGTCTTCCCAAGTGACCTTTAACTTCCTAGATACATGTGGCTCTGGGGTAACCAGAGGCATTCTCTCTAGAAATCCCATTCCCTGTTACAGAGTAGTGAGAAATCAGGAAAATGGGGACATTGCGGAGAGCTGCGGGGACTCCAGGCTGAGGCCAAGATCTTGCATGGTGAGATCGGAGTGCAGACAGCATGGATGGAGGGCAGCTACGGCGATGCCTGCTGTACTTGCCTGGTTATGGCACGTGTCAGAGTCCTTCATGGGGAAACTGGTTGTGGCGTGCACAGGGAGTCTACTGCCTTTGTGTCTTTTGTATATTTAAAGTTATTCTAGAATAAAAAGTGTGTTTTAATGAAAAAAATGGTGATAGCTGAGTATGAAACTTATTTGGTAGGTTTTTTTTTAAGGTTTACTTATTTAATGTGTACTGGTGTTTTGTCACACCAATGTCGTGACATGCACACCTGAAAACACACTTTGTGTGAGGGTTTCGGATCACCTGGAACTGGAGTTACAGACAGTTGTGAGCTGCATGTGGTTGCTGGGAATTGAACCCAGGTCCTCTGGAAGAGCAGCCAATGCTCTTAACCACTGAGCCATCTCTCCAGCCCCATTTGGTAGGGTTTTTTTTTTTTTTTTTGTCTTTTTTATTATTACTTATTTATTTTTGTTTTTTTTCCGAGACAGGGTTTCTCTGTGTAGTTTTGGTGCCTGACCAGGAACTCACTTTATAGACCAGGATGGCTTCGAACTCACAGAGATCCGCCTGCCTCTGCCTCCCGAGTGCTGGGATTAAAGGTGTGAGCCACCACCGCCCGGCAGGTTTTTTGTTTTTAATTATTACATTTTATTTATCATGTGTTTATTGTACTAGTCTCAGCTCATGTGAAGATTTTGTAGGAGAGAAACTTCTGGGAGTCTGTTTTTCTACCACAGGATTCTTAGAGATTGGGCATCTTTACTGGCTGAGCTATCTCACCAGCCCCCTTATTTGTTTGTTTGTTTTAATCTTTGAAGATTTATTTATTTTATGTGTATGTTTTGCCTGCATGCATGTATGTGTACCACGTATGTGCCTGGTGCTTGAGGAAGTGAGAAAAGGGCATCAGATCCCCTGGAATTGGAGGCATGGATCATTGTGAACCATCAGGTGGTGCTGGGAACCAAACCTGGGTCCTCTACAAGAGCAACAAGTGCTCTTAACCACTAAGCCATCTCTCCAACCCAATTTGGTAGATTTTGTCTAGTGTGCAGGAGGCATTGGGTTTGATTCCCCAGAATCAAATGTAACCAGGTGTCATTACACACATTTATAATCCTAACACTCAGGAGGTAGAGTCAGGAGGATCAGGTCCAATCCTGGACTACATAGTTTGAGGCTAGCCTAGGCTACATGAGACCCCATCTCAAAAAATTGTTTGACCAGGTGTGATGTCATCCAGGAGAGTTTGGCCCAGGGAGGGTTGACTTCCAGGAGAGAGGTCGGGGGCAAAGCCAAGAGGCCACCATGCATGAAGTCCCGCTCTGTTGCCACCCTCCCACAGTGCACTGCTGGTATCCCATCCCACCTGGCTTCTCTTAGAGAAGGCATACAGCGCCAGCGGCTTCTCGCGCCGGTTGATGAAATCAATGGCCGCGTCCAGGTTCCTCACAGTCACCATAGGCAGGATGGGCCCGAAGATCTCCTCCTGCATCACGGGCTCTGTCTCTTGCACGTCCACTAACACGGTGGGTGCTGCAATACAAGGGGCAACTCAGCCGCACCCGTGGGCAAGACATGTTGGGAGGGAGGGGCTCCAGTCAGGACAGCCTGTGCCCCACACAGAGCAGTCCCAGGGTTTGACTTCCTGGGACCTCAGGCTTGGGGTCTGGAGTCTCACAGAACAACAAAAGCTAGAACAGAAGTTCAAGCCATACTCTGAACCTCTAGAGTCGGGTCGTAGCTCAGTGAGTCCTGAGTCTGAGGAGTCAGAGGCTCAGAGTCACGGTGGTGTGTTGCTGTGGAACTGGGCCCCAGAGCTGTGTACTCAGGCCAGGCTCCAGAGGAAAGACAGAGGAGTCAGACATAGGCTGAGACTTGTAGCGTGGGCCCCTCCAGCTTGGAAAGGTCTGAAAAGCCCAGGTTAGGAAGAGGGAGACTCACCAATGTAGAGATCGCTTTCATCGCTCTGGCCACCAATGGCCACGCGGCCACAGCCCAGCAATCCCTGGAGACGCTTGAAATGTTTCTGGTTGATGATTCTTCCCAGGTTAGGGGAGGTCTGTGGGTTGTCTCCATAGAAACGTGTGATGGCGTTCTGCAGGGCCGGCACCAGCCGCTCCTGCATCTCCTGGCTACACAGGATGTAATCGGGGGCCACACAGGTCTGGCCAGCATTGAAGCAGCGGAACCAGGCCACACGGTTGGCCACGGTCTGGGGGTCACAGTCGTCATCCACATAGCAGGGGTTCTTACCCCCCAGCTCCAGGGTGATGGGCGTCAGGTGTTTGGCAGCAGCGGCCATCACGATCTTGCCTACATAAGCGTTCCCTGGGTACATGGGAAGGGCCTAGAGTGACTCATTAGTGAACTGGTAAGTGGGTGGCCTTACCTGAGTCCCTACACAGGGACTCGAAAAGAATTTATCCTACACTCCCAGCAGTGAGTCGGACTCCGTGACCCCCTCCAATGTAGCCCCTCAGCTCCTAGCTGTGTTCACTTCTGTCCCTGGCCCACCTTGCACCTTATTCTCCAGCCTGTCATAGTGTTAGCCGCCTCTCCACCTCCTAAATAAAACCTCTGATGTCCTCTGCCTTGTCCTCTAAGGCCACAGTCCAGTTCAGCCTGTCTGATGCTCAGTCCCTCCTCTCTTCCTTACAAACCCCTTCCCAGAGTTCCTGGTCTATAGGCTCCTCCTCACTCCCCCTCTCCCTCTGCCCCATCTACTCATCCTCCAGGTTGTCCCAGCCCTTGCCTGCCACACCATAGTTCTTCCATTCCTTGTTTACTCTCTGCTCGCCTCAGTTCAAACACCGCAGAGGCACTTTGGCATCGGGGGCACTTGCCTGTGGTCTCAGTGCTCAGAAAGCTGAGGTAGAACATTGCCTCAAGTTCAATGCCAGCCTGCGCTACACTGTGAGATCCTGTCTCAAACAGTGGCTGATCCAGCCATGGTGGTACACTCCCATGCTTCCTGCATTCAGGAGGTAGAGGCAAAAGTGTCAGGAGTTGAGGGTCACCCTCAGCTACATAGTGAGTTTGAGGCCAGCCTGGGTTACATGAGATCTTGTTTGGAAAAAAACAAGACAAACCCAAACAAGAGCAGCGTCCAAGGGCTGAGAGTATAGCTCAGTGGTAGAACACTTGCCTGGCATGTATGAGGTCTGGGGTTGATTCCCAGCACCTCAAACATGGATAAAAGACTCCAGAATCCCAGCACTCAGGAGGCAGGGGCAGACAGATCTCTGTGAGTTTGAGGCCAGTCTGGTGTACAGAGCAAGTTCCAAGACAGCCGGGGCTGCACAGAGAACCCCTGTCTCTAAATAAATAAATAAATAAATAAATAAATAAATGGAATCCCGCACATGCAGCCTCTGACATACAGTCTGTGTACTCAACAAAGATGCCCTGGTCTCGGGAGGATGAGCTGATGAACACTTCCTATGGACCATATGCTGTGATAAAGGACCTTGTCTTCTGTACAGACCTGTGCTTTGAATTGCCTCAGATGAGAACAGGCTAGATTAGTCATGGGACCTTGCAGTGAGATCCCGGTCAGGTCTGTTGGGACCTTGCTTGAAAGCTGGCCTTGGCCTTGGCCTTACCTCTGCACCTGGCCCTGAGAACCTAACCTAAGTGCCACCAGGGCTGAGGGTGTAGAGGTGTCTTTGATGGCACTCCCCTGCCTCCTGCCTTGCTTAGTATGAGACTTGCTTTTCCCCACAAGGAAGACCAATCTACCTTTGCTTCAGCAGCTTTCCCTGTCCCCAGCTGGGCCTTTCCTAGGCTTGAGGCAAGCTCTAGAGAAAAGTCCAAAGCCCAGCTCTGCCCTGTTCTAATCACCTGCGAGTCAAGACAGCCAGCTTAGGCTCAGGCCCACTTGGGCACTGCCCACTACCTCTACCATTTTTTTTTTTTTTTTTTTTTTTTGGTTTTTCGAGACAGGGTTTCTCTGTGTAGCTTTGTGCCTTTCCTGGAACTCACTTGGTAGCCCAGGCTGGCCTCGAACTCACAGAGATCCGCCTGGCTCTGCCTCCCGAGTGCTGGGATTAAAGGCGTGCACCACCACCGCCCGGCCTACCTCTACCATTTTTATCGTCCAGAAACTTCATCCTGATCCCTTGAAGCAGACGCCTGGGATCTGGGACATGGTAGCATAATGGCAGGTGACCTCTGGGAGCTAGTCTCACTAAGAGCTTGGGTGCAAATCCTATCTTGGCCAGCTGGGCAACCCTGGGTCGGGTACTGCTGCCCTTCAGCACCCCAAGACAGCCTCTTACCTGCCAGGGCTAAAAGGAGATCACAGGGCCTGCTGTCAGGGCTGAAGGGAGGTCATGGGGTCTGCTGTCAGGGTCTGGTGCAGCAGGAGCTTGGAATGGGTGGACTTTTGACTCAGGGTTGAGGTGGGGAGGTGGTTGGTGGTTGTGGACATGAGAGTCTGTCTTCCCTAAGGGTCTGGAGGCTGGAGCCACCCCTGAATCTTACCTGTAAAGAAGATGTGGTCGAACCTGTGTTCCAGCAGCTGTGTGGTCTCCTGAGGCCCACCCAGCACCACGGCAAAGCAGCTCTGTGGGCAAAGAAAGGTCCTCAGACCCATCTTCTGAGTTTAGGGGTGGTCCAGCCTGCATGGAGCCCACCCATCTTGCTTCACCCAGTCTTGGTTGATCTTTCCTGAGAACATCCTGGGGGCTGAACACTGCAGTCTTAGGGAAAGAATGCAGCTAGGGCCAGTTATGGGACCCCAGGGGACAGACTTCCCTGGCTAAATCCTAGAAGGGAAACTGAAGGGGAGGGGTAGTGATGTAGCCAAGGCCATGCAATTCAGAAGAGGTATCCCTAGCCAAGCATAGCAACTCATTCTTGTAATTCATCTCTCAGGAAGCTGAGGCAGGAGGATCACAATGAGTTTGAGGCTAGCCTTGGCTACAGAGTGAGGCCCTGTTTAAAAAAAAGAAGAAGAAGAAGAAGAAAAGAGATGGGGGCTGGAGAGATGGCTCAGAGGTTAAGAGCACTGCTTGCTCTTCCAGAGGTCCTGAGTTCAATTCCCAGCACCCACACGGTGGCTCACAGCCATCTGTGATGAGATCTGGCGCCCTCCTCTGGCCTGCAGGGGTATGTGCACTGTATACATAATAGATAAATAAATTTTGAAAAAAAATAGAAGAGAGGAAGACTAGAGAGGTGACTCAGTAGTGAGAGTGTTTGCTGTGCGAGCGTGAGGCCGAGTTCGATCCTGAGGACCCACTGAAAAGCTGCGTGTGATGGCAGGCACCTCTAATTCCAGCACTGGGCAGTGGAGAAGGACAGATCCCAGAGACTCCCTGGTCAACTAGTCTAGCCAAATTCTCCAGTCCCAGGAACCAGTGAGAGACCTTGTCTCAAAACATAGGGTGAACATTTCCAAGAACCACCAGGGGTTGAGCTCTGGTCTCCACTCACACATAAACATATGTGCACCCACATACACACAAACAAGCACACACCCCCTCAAATACGCTCCCACACACTGAAGGCCCTCCTGAGGTTGGGCCATGTCCCCCGCCTTACCCCCACAGGAGCTGCCCAGCCCTAGGCCTCGACTGTCCATATTACCTGGTCCAGATAGCGTGGCAGGACCTCAGCCAGGATCTTCTCAATGGCCTTGCTGGTCTCTGAGGGCTTGAGTACCACACAGTTCCCTGCAGTCAGCACAGAGGGAATGCTAGGAGAGGCAGCCGTGCAGAGTATGTGCTGGCCACACGAACTCTCAGATGAAGTCAGAAGTGATGGATAGACCCTGGCCAGGGGCTGCCTGGGAGCAGGGTGCCCGCTCCCCTGTCTTCCTTTTCTGGTTTCCTAGGTAGCCCTGTGTTCTCCAGTGAGTAGGATTGTGGGAAGGTGGAGGTCTCACCTGCAGCAATGGCCCCCACCAGCGGCACAAGCGTCAGGTTCAAGGGGTAATTCCAGGGCACAATGATGAGCACCAGGCCAAAGGGCTCCTTCCGGATGAAGGCTGAGTCCAGCTGTGTGGCCTGGACCAGGGGTGAGCTGTGAGGCTCTGTGGAGCCACACTGTGGGAGCAAACAGTTCCCAAACCCCAATTGCCACCCTGACCCCTCCCCAACTTACCAGATTCTTGGACACTTTCTCATCCTTCATCCACGACCGCAGATTCCTGAGGGCCAGGTCCACCTCAGCCTGACTGATGGCAATCTCAGATATTTCCGACTCAAAGGCTGACTACAGAAAGGAAGGAGGGTCAGGGCTGAGTCCTAGGGAACCCCAAAGTAGCAAATAGCCGGAGTGTGGGGGAAATACAGCTTCCTTCCCAAAGGTCCTGCATCTCTTTATCCTATCATTCATTCATTCATTCATTCACCCACTCCAGGGAGCCCTGGGCACCTGGGGGCAGAATGTAGTAGAGTCAGAATATAGAAGCGATCCTAGCAGGTGCAAAGGCCCTGTGGCTGGCTGGGGCTTGCTCTGCTTCTGCTTAGCAGCGAGTACAGAGGGCATAAGGCATGATTCTCCTCGGTCAATGGTTTCATTTCCCACAGCCCAGGTGGACAGTACCAAGTGCCCAGGAGAGAAGTAAGAAGACAAAAATCAATGGGACCTGGGGCTGGGGATGTGACTCAACCAGTAGAGAGATTGCCTAGCATATACAAAACTCTGGGTTCCATCCCCAGCCACATATAAACTGGGCATGATGGCATATACCTAGCACTGAGGAGGCAGAGGCAGGAGGACCAAGAGTTCAAGGTCATTCTCAGCTTCATAATAAGTTTGAGAACCTATCTCAAAACCAAACCAAACAAAAAAAAACAAGACCATGCTTCTGACTTCTGCAAGCTGTGTGCTCTGCTCCAAACTCCAGGAGGGGTCCAGACTTCAGGGCCAGGGATGCCAGAGCCAGGCTGAATTGTGGCCACTGAAATACAAGCTCTTCTGGGTAACAGCAGAAGATGGAGGCCTGCAGAGGTGATGCAGAGTGCCAGGAAGACCATACAAGGGGATGTGCCATGCAATATAAGGGGATGTGCCATGCAATATAAGGGGATGTGCCATGCAAAGCCAGGTGGGTGTTCTGTGCCACTCAGCCCCACTGTGCTTCCTAGTAGCCGAGCCTGGTTCAGGCAACTTTCAGCCACACACAGCTCACGGCAAGCCTGGCAGCTCCTGAGGACCCTATCGAGGTATGGGGGTGGGGATGCACACGTGGGCACAGTGACCTCAGGAGAGCAGGGTACTTTGAGTGAGATTCTTCCTCAGGCCCTGCTTTTCCTGGCTGTGTGTCTCTGGGCAAGAAACTGCCTTCTCTGAACCCTCCTCTGGGGATAACTGGCTGTGACTGTCCAGCAGGAGGAGTGCTAGGGGTCGGAGGGAGGAGAGAATGACCACAGCACTGGGCAGATGCCACCTGCCGAGGGTGGAGACCTGAGTAGTCTGGCCGGATCAGAGGGAGGCGCCAGGCTGAATTTTCTGGGCCGCTGCCTCCTTTGTAAGGTCCAGGTTTCTGGAGTCAGATAAGAAAGCAGAGGTGGAACCTGAGCTGAAGGGGAAAAGGTCGGGTCTCCTGGGTGCTGGGCGGGGCTGATGAGAAGCTGTAGGAGTCAGTCCCAGGAGAGCCCATCAGACTGGGGGAGTCTCTAGAGTAACAGCAGGGGACAAAGAGAAGAGGAACTCACTGGGTCAGTCCCTTGGAGGGACTGGGGGACCCTGTATGACTGCTGCTGGAATTGGGAGGGAACCCCAGAACCTCCAAGATATAGAGACTGTGATGTCCACAGTGCCAAGTGAGACCAAAGTCGTCCAGGGCGTGGTCCACTTCCTCAGGCCTTCTCTTCCATATCTCTCTGTCTCTCTCTCTCTCCAGCCACTTTGAGCTCTGCAGTTCCTCAACCACAGACACACTAAGCTCTTCAAGCCTCAGGACCTTTGCATATGCTGCCGGGCCACTCCCTCCAATGTCCATGCAGCGCTTTCCTCCTCCTATTTTCTGACTCTGTTCTGAGGCCCCCTTCTCAGAAAAACCTTCGTTGACCCCACATACAAACCAGCATCACCATCCGGCCCCTGACTTAACACTGGAACGTGTGCACTTCACATGTTACCAGGCCACACGCACAGCATGGTTTTGCTGTCATATTGTCACCACCCTTTCCCCCGGCAGAGGTCAGCTCTGTAGACACTGGGACTTTACTCACTGTGTGTTCCCAGAGCCTGTCCTGGCACTGGTGCCAAGCACATACCAAGTTTTCCATAAATAGCGGCAGAGTAGATGGGGGACAGAGGGATGGGGGCCAACAGTCACCTGTGGTTCATGAAAGGAGCTGGGGTCCCATGGGTTTTCAACTCCTCTTCCTGGAGGATGTGGCTGAGCTGTGTCCCTTGTCCCAGCTGTACCACCCTTGCTGACCCGGGGGGGGGGGGGGGACACACCCACACCCTCCCCCACTGTCCCTGCTCCACGCACCGCCCCGCACCTTGCGCAGGTCCTGGGCCAGCGCCTCCTGCAGCTGCTGTTTGTTGTCTCGAAGGAAGCGGCTCAGGCCTTGCAGCTGCGCAGCCCGGAACTCAGCCGGCCGCGTCCGCCCCGTGTTGAAGGCCTCCCGCAGCCGCCGCAACCTGTCCTCAAATGAGTCCATCCTGCAGGATAGTGCAGTGTGAGTCGGGCGGCTGCCCTCACCTTTGTGACAGTCCCCAGCCCCTGCCCACCCAGGGCCTCACAGACTCTTCCCAGGGCCCCCCTTGGACAGCTCCATTGGTGACAAGAGTGGCCGTCACCTTTGAGACTGTCCTTATGGGACACAGCCAGACACAACAGGCACTCCTCCTCCTGCCGGCTGGACTACAGAAGGGATGAGCTTGATAAGGCTGGGCAGGTGAGCTGGGGCTCTCTGCTGCTTTGGTGAAGTTAGTTCTGACCCAAGGCCCCTCCTGTTCCAGTGCCCTCCCGGGGGCTACACTTGACCCTGCCTGGCCTGAGTAGAGTGGACAGGAGGGGATATAGCGAGGGACACCACAGCAGCCACCACACACTCGGGACTGCATGAGGAACCAGGCTGGCTGGTGGCAGCTCAGAGACCTGGGGTGACCTCGGGCAGTCCCTCAGCAAAGGGAAGAATGGCTTGGGCTGCCCAGAGGCCCCCCTGCTCACCTCTGCAGGGATGCCCGCTAGACCACAAGAGAAGGTGACAGCTGCAGAGGAGAGCCAGGTGGGGTGATGGGAGTCACCAGCCGGGACTGGAAGACAGGGAAGGGGCCTGATATTCCCCTGGGCTCACGCCTGTTTACACGAAGCTCATCAGAGGAGCCTGTGACGCATTCACTCCTTGGCCTGGTACCAAGGACAGGTTGGGGACCCTTTCCTCCTCCGCTGTCTGACTTCAGGCCTCAGTGTACCTGAGTGTACCCACAGCGATGCTCTTTCATGTGCTCTCACAGTGGCCCCTTGCTCAGCTTGGCTCTGTACTGACAGATACCACAGGATGCCTAGTTGCCCTCCACCCACCTCCTTTACCAATTGTCCCCTCCCATGGGACCAGGAGGCCAACTCTACTTTGTCTTTTTAACTCATTTCTTGGGGCTCAGTGCCCCAAACTTCCCAGTGACAAAAAGATAGTTGCTGGAGTTGTGGTTGTTTGTTGTTGTTAGTTTGTGTTTAATTTTTTTTTTTTTTTGCACGTGCCTCTGTGTGTGACGTTCATGCACGAATGTATGTATATGTGTTCCCATGTCCATGCAGGCCCAAGGTTAATTCTGGGTCCTCAAACATGCTCCACCTCATTATTAAGTCAACCTCTAAACTGAACATCAAGTTCACAGCTAAGACCAATCTAGGGCTGGAGATGTCAACTCAGCAGTTAAGAGCACATGCTGCTCTTCTAGAGGACCTGAGTTCAAATCCCAGCAGCCACATCAGGTGGCCCACAACCAGCTGTGATTTTAGCTCCAGGGGATCTGACACCTCTGGCCTCTGCAAGCACTGTGCACTCACACACACACACACACACACACACACACACACACACACACACACACACACACACATAATAAAATAAAAAGTGCTAAAGGGAGGCCGGGCGGTGGTGGCGCACGCCTTTAGTCCCAGCACTCGGGAGGCAGAGCCAGGCGGATCTCTGTGAGTTCGAGGCCAGCCTGGGCTATCAAGTGAGTCCCAGGAAAGGCGCAAAGCTACACAGAGAAACCCTGTCTCGAAAAACCAAAAAAAAAAAAAAAAAAAAAAGTGCTAAAGGGAAACTAGCCAGACAGTTTGCTCTGGGGATCTCCTCCCTCCTCCTTTGGGCTATGGAATTCCAGGCAGCTGTCACACCCACCAGCACTTGTGTGGGTGCCGGGGATTTGAACACTGGTCCCCTTGCTCGAGTGGCAGGACTTTATGTGCTCAGTCATCTCTCCAGCCCCGGGTGTTTTTTTCCCCCTGGTTGAATGTGAGACAGGTGGTCCTTACACACACTATGTAGCTATGATGGTCTTGAACTCTGGGTCCTCCTGTTTACATTTCCTGAGTATTGGGATTATAGGCACATAGCGCCATGCCTGGCTTAGCTGACAGGCTTTGTGAAGATGAGGCCTTGCCTTCTGCTTCTGGGCCCAGGTGGGCACCAGTGCTTTGCCACTGTCAGGCAGCTATCTGTCTGTCTGTCTGTCTGGAGGCCTTTGTGGAGAGCAGTGATCTGGAGCAATAAGCCACCCCAGAGGCTGTGCCCAGGGTCCAATGTTGACCCTCCAGGCCTCCTGTGCCCAGGCTCCAAAAAGACAAGCTGGAAACTCGGAGAGAACATTATCTCCATCCTCAGTGTGTCTCAGGGCTCTGCTTCTACTCGTTATGAGACCTCGGGCACAGACACTCCTGTCCTGCCTCAGTTTCCTTGCCATTACAGGATGTGAAGCCCTGGTTTGCGGGAAGATCTGAGCAGACTGCTGTACAAAGCATTTGCCGTTGTCCCCAGAAGGCACAGGGAGACCAACAGCCCATGAGTCACCAGGAGAGTTGGAGGGGCATTCTGTGGTTAAAGCTCTTGCTGTGCAAGCGAGAGGACCAGAGTTCAGATTCCCAGGCCCAGGTCAATGCTAGTGGACACTGGGCACGTGAGCTCCCCACAGTTCCAGCCTCGAAAAACAGAGACAGGACTCCCTGGAGCAAGCTGGCTAGTGAGACTTCTCATATTGGCAAGCTCTGGGTTTGACTGAGAGATCCCGCCTCAAAGAGAATGAAAGTGGGAAGCTATGGGGAAAGGTTCCAAACATCAACCTTAGGCCTCCTTCCACATGCATACAAACACATGCATCTCCCACACAGTGACCCCACACACATGTGAACACACACACCCATGAGAAAAGAAAAAAATGACACCACCAACAGTCCCTCCCACCCTAAGGCCCTGCTCACTGGAGTCTCTTCAGAGCCCACAAAAATGTAAAGCATGCTACCAAACATTGGCTTGTGGGCAAGGGACCTCTGTGGGTGGGGTCTATACAGAACATTCTAGAAGTGCTCCTAGCAACACTGATGCCAACTCACTATGGCAGCAGTACACACACCTCCCCTGCAGGACTGCCCACCTGGCCCACAATGCCCCCTCAGGGTTGGTCACTGTGGACGGGAACCTGGGGGTGTGCCCACTAGGGGCTAGAAAGCCAGGTTGGACCTGAGCTAAGGTCATCTGCCACCTGGGATCAGGAGTCTTAGACTAAGACATCACAAGGGGACTGGAAAGTCACAGTGGACAAACACTAGGGGATTCTTATGTAACTCCTGTACCCCACCCTCCCTCCGCAGGTACATCCCATCCTGGGGAAGTATGTAAGGATGTCTGCCCTGACTCCTTTAAACACAACAGAGGCACAGAGAGGACAAGGAGCCAGCCTGAGGACACCCAGTCCCTTCACATTGGAAAACCTCAGCCCAGAGGCACAGAAGGCTGCCTGCCTCAGTCTCCCCGTTCCTGGAGCATGAGAACAGGGCAGCCAGAGAGTCGGGAGAGGAACAGACAGTCCTTGGGAGGAAGCAACACTTGTGAGCTGCAGATTCAGGACCAGAAGGACAATACTTGTCCACCACAGGAAGAGAAGAGCCCCATGAGCACAAAGAGCCAATCTGTTGGGGGTCTCCATCCCTCAATCCCATCATTCCTACCGATCCCCACTATGCTGTCCTTTCCAAGCCCAGGGCTCAGCTGGTGAGCCAGGGGTCTTCCTGAGGATGGGGTGGGAGTTTCTATGTATTTCCCTGGGGCCTGAGTAGGACCATGGACCTGGGGATCGCTCTAAAAGTAATAATCAGCCTGGCATGGTGGGCCATGCCTCCAGTCCCAGCAGTAGAAAAGCATATGAGTTCTAACAAATTTCATATGAACCAAGGCTACATGAAACCCTGTGTCACAAAAACAAAATTATGGGCTGGCAAGATGGCTTAGGGGGTAAAGGAGCTTGCTTGTAAGGAACACATGTAAGGCCTAGGGTGAACAACCCTGGTCAGGAGTGATAAGCAATAGAATGATGTAAGTAAACCACAAATGGAGTAGTGATAAGCTATAAGCTATGTGTGGAAGTAGGGATAAGACTAGAAACCTAGCCAGGAAAGAATATAAAAGATGGAGCCTCAGACCCGACCAACAGAGCTCGTCAGGCCCTCACGCGAGACGACTCTCCTCTGCCAGAGACGTGAGATCCTGTCCCCAGTGCAGACATGGCTGACCTGAGGAAGGCTGACCCAAGATCCAGAGGAATAGACGTGGCGAGCCCGGACCTGTATACCCGGAGAGGTACTCCTGCTTCCATTTGGAAGACAGGATGAATATTGCTTGTAATCTTACTGTGTGAATAAATGAGTGTTATACCAAGTCTGAATCAAGAGTGATTATTCCTCCCCCGTAACTGGGGTATGTGCTCGCTACACTATTCCAGCTGGACGGCCTGAGTTTCCTCTCTAGAACCCACATAAAGTGGAAGGAGAGAACAGCTCCACAAAGTTGTCCTCTGACCTCCACGTGCACGCCATGGCATGCACCACCCCACATCATAAACAAATGCTCTAAAAAATATACAAAAATGCTGGGTGGTAGTGGTGCATGCCTTTAATCCCAGCACTCAGGAGGCAGACAGGTGAATTCAAGGCCGGCCTGGTCTACAGAGCGAATTCCAGGACACCAGGGCTACAGTGAAACCCTGTCTCTAAAACAAACAAAAATAAATAAAAATTTAAAAATTACTAGCTAGGGGCTGGAGATGTAGCTCTGTTGGTAGAGTGCTTGTCTAGTGTGCAGGAGGGACTGAATTTGACCCCTTGGGAAGTGGAGGCAGAAAGGTCAAAGAGTTTAGGGTCAGCCTGGGCTACATGAGTGTCCCCACAAACAAACTGGTGCTGACCATGGTAGGCGGGGCTAGCCTGGGCACTTGCCGTGGATGTCCAGGGCTGCGGGGTGAGCCTGAAAACTAGAAAAAGGGGGAAGGAGTGAGCACTGAGGCCCGCACTCCGTCGCCCAGGGGATTAGCTGCCATGCAAGGGCCCTGCCCTGTGCCCTTGGAAGGGTCCAGCTGATGGACTTTCCCTCTGGCTGGTGCCTGCTCTCTCCTACCCCACTGGGCTCCTGTGCAGGAAAGCTCAGCCCAGTCCCTCAACCTTCCTGCCTCAGTTTCCTCAACCACACCACAGGCCTCCGTGGTCAGGGGCTCCGTGACCTGGACACAAATCCCAGCAGCTTGTTCATTGGCTGGAAGACGTCACGCAGGTTTCCTGGGCTCTTTGGCTCATTCTTTTCATTAGTGAAAGGGGTCAGCTCTTGGTGCCCCTATAGGCTTGGTGCTGGGGAAACTCAAAGGCAGAGGTTTAGAAAGCCTTGGTCCAGGCATGGCCCCAGAAGCACTTCGTGAGAGATGGCGCCAGAGGGGCTGGGGGAGGAGGACTCTGGGGTAAGGGCCCAACAAAACCTTAATCCAGTGTGGGATTTGAGAGGGCTGGGGATCTCGGTGACAGTGAATGAAGGTGTGATCTCAAGGCTTGGAGACCTCCATCAGGACTGCCAGAGGTAGGGGCGCTAGGTCGGGCTCAAAGGCCCCCAGGCCCTGAAACTGAGTGGCTCACGCTTTAATCTCCTATTTATGGCCCATGTGTGGCTTTGGCCCTGGGTTCCAGGAGACTGTCCAGAGCTTTGGGCAGCAGCTTCTCCTATCCATGGTACCTAGGGAGCTGGGACCAAGACATTCCTGGGCCTGGAGACTGAGCCTGCCTTCCCATAGATGAGCTGCTAGAAGATGAAGTCCTTGGAACCACAAGACCCTTCCCCAGGCACAGCAGGTGCCTGCCTGTCTTTCACTGGGCTCTGACAAAGTCTGTTGCTGAGGAATCTTTCGTAAGATCTTTCGAGTGCCCCCAACTAGCCGGGCTGGCATGGTAGTTAGTGCCTTGGAAATGGTGCCTGAATAGACCTCCAGGGGTCAGAGACCATGTTCTCTCCTGTGGTGGCAGCCGTGTCCCTCATCCCCCTCACAGGATGAGTCCCCCAGGAGGAGCAGGGCTGTGGAGTGCAGTGCAGACTCAGGAAGCCAGCTGAGCCCTGTACTCGAAGCTCCTCAGCCCTCCCCTACAGTATCTTCCTTCCCTTTTCTCCTCAGGCTGCAGGCAGATGAGGCCTGAAAGACACAGGCTGCCTGTGTGTGCAGCCACCAATTACCAAACCAGATAGGGAGCCCGGCACCCCAGAGTAGCGAGGCTAGATCCCAGCCAGGACAGATCAATAGCAGACCCACTCCCGTCTCCCTGGGATACAGTACCTGAGGCCTCGCCAAGCTGCCCTTCTTCCTGGCTGTCCAGCCAGCCTGGCACCCCGCCTTTATGCAAGGTCCAACAATGCCTGCCCCTGGGGCGGGGCCACCCTGGCCTAGTGCCTGACCTTGGCTCCAGGCCTGGTGGAAGCTGCGAGCTGGGATTTTACCACAACATCTATCTTGTAGCGGCCTAGAGACTCTCTCAGACCACAGAAAAGGAGGCAGGGCCCAGAGAAGGGTGGCGTTAATTCAGGGTCACACAGCAGTTCTGAGCACTGAGTGGGATAATGAGTGAGGGGTGGAAGGAGGCTGAGGCGGGCGTGTTCTCAGCTCTAGGAGGAGAGCCTGGGAATTTCGATGTGAAGGTAGGACCCAGTGGCCTGGAATATTAAGAAAGGCTGAACACCGCCACCCAGCCTTGTCTACGCTGAGTCTCAGTTTCCCTATCTGCTAAGAGGTCAGACCCAGAGTCCAGAAATACAGTCTCAGGACTAGGCCCTCTGCCAGCTGTGTCCCAGGCCTCGGCCTTCCTGTGACCCCCAATCTACCTCCAGCTGCAGCCCACACACAAACTCGTCACCCTCAAACCTCGTATTTTACAATGAGAAATTGGGGCCCTGTGAGGGGCCGGGTCTTGGCCACATAGGATATGCATGGCAAGGCGGCGACTGTAGAACTGAGGATGTGTCTCTCCCCAAAGACATCCCCTCTGCCTGCCACCCTCAGACAGCCATCATGATACTGTGTATTGCTGAGGTGGCCCCTGGGGTCCTGCTCCTCTGCAGCTGCAGAGCTGAGCCTGGCTCCACCCCAGGGACACCTGTGGGAGCCAGCACAAAGGGGGATGATCCCGAGCAGCTGCTGGGGGCAGACAGCCTGGCGATTGGGTTACATGGATGTGTGTGTGTGTGAGAGAGACATCCTTTGTACCTCTGCCCCAGGGTCACGTGCAGCCTTTCCCCACAGGTGCCCTGAACGAGCCTGGAGGCTGCTGGCCAGGGCCTCTGTGCCGACCTTGCACCTAGGAGATGCTCCTCACCGCCTCACCCAGCTCCCCAACCTACCTGGGAGGGCAAGAGAGGCCCGCAGGCCCACGCCCCGCTGCCAGCCCTGCAGGATTCAGTTAGCTGGGATAGGTGTAGGGCCGAGGGGCCACTGAGGGCCCTGTCTTCTGCGTGGGATGGAGCCCCCAGCCGCCGCTTGTCACGTGGATCAGCATGTGACAGCCCTGCTGTGCTACTGTCTGGAACTGAGCCAGACAGACGCACAGGCAGAGCGGCTGTCATGTAGGGCTGAGCTGGCGCTGAGCCTATAGCTCTCAGCCAGAAACTAGGCCCAGAGAGGGTCAGCCACTGGTCTGAGGCCACACAGCAAATGAGGGGCTCATCTGGGAAAGATCGTAGTAAGCAGGAGGGGTGTTGGATTCTGAGAGCCTCCTTCCTAGCCAGTGGGCTGTGAAGAACTTCCCTGCGAGTTCAGGGGTTACATTGTCTCAATTTAGAAACAGCCTCAGATGAGTCCCACAGGAAGTCCAAATTTCTAGGACAAGGTACCTGAGGTGGTAGTTCCTGTCCAGGGGCCTGGGACACAGCTAAATCATTGTCAGCATGATACAGCCTAGAGTCACTTGAGAGGAGAGCCTCAACTGAAGAAACACCTAGATCATATTCGCCTGTGTCCATGTCTGTGGGAGACTGCCTTGATTGTTAATTGGTACAGGCTAGCCCGCCCATCATGGGAGGCACCATTCCCTGGGCAGGTGGTCCTAGGCTGTCTAAGGAAGTTAGCTGAGCCTGAGCCTGTGAGCAAGTGAGCCAGTAAGCAGCCCCCGCCCCCATGGTGCACTTCTTCAGCTGCGAAATGAGTCCCTTGGTCAGAGGTGATGCCGTGGGAAGCAGTGAGAAACCCTGCCTTCAGGCTCCTGTCTTGATCCTGCCTTGACTTCACTCGATGACGGATTGGATCTGGAATTAGGAACTGAAGAAATCCTTTCCTCTGCTAAGCTGTTTGATCACAGCAGAACAGAAACTAGAACACTCCCCCAGGATGGGAATCCGGGACAGTGCGCCCCACCGTCCTTCCCCTTTCTTCTGGTTGGTGAGGCTCCTGGAGAGGGGCCTGGCATTCACGACTTTGCCAAGGGGATCAAGAGTAAGTGGTGCCGTGGGGACCGTGTGTAGAGCGGGGAATCCTAAAGCTGGGACCAGTCAAAAGTCCTCACTGTTTTGATCTCAGTCCCCTTGGGGACAGGGATAGACGGGGTGCAGAGTGTGGTCTGGGCCTGACAGTGCTTGTCCTTCACCTGCAAAAAAGACCTGACCAAGCCACGTAACCCTCATGGGGTCTCTGTTCTTATCTGTAAAATAGAGTTGACCCTACTTGTGTTACAGGGCTCAGAAAGGATAGCGTAAGAACCATCCGCAAAGTGCTTGATGATGCACCTGGAACAAGCCCAGTGGTGGTGATGCACACCTTTAATCCCAGCACTCGGGAGACAGAGCCAGGCGGATCTCTGTGAGTTCGAGGCCAGTCTGGGCTACAGAGCAAGATCCAGGACAGGCACCAAAGCTACACAGAGAAACCCTGTCTCGGGGGGGGGGCGGGGGGAGAAAACAAGAGGGAGGAGTGTGTGTGGGGGGAGGTTGGGGAAGAAACCTGGAACACAGCAGGAGACCAATATGAGCAGCTGGCCTCTTTCCCTGCCCTCCTGAGGTTTGTCCTCAACACCAAGTACAGAGGAAGAGGTGCAGGGGAATGCCCTTGGCACTCACTAAGTGTCAAGACCCCTTGGCACAGGTACGCAGAGATTGCCAGTCACCTGCTCCTTCGTGCTCTCAGCAAAGCTTGTGAGGGCCCTGTTGTGCCTTTGGGTCACACAGCCTCAGACCATTCCCAGGCATCCACCTGAGACTGCAGGCCCAGAGAGGGGTGGCCCCTCAGCCACGGCTGCACAGAGAGGTCAGGTGAGCATTCACACTAGCTAGACTCATCCCCACCCACAGCATTTTATGAATGTCTGGAGTCACCATCCCTCAGGGAGGTCCTCTTTCCAGGACCATATGTCTCAGTAGACAGCAGCAGCCATGTTTCCTGGCCACTTGCTGGGAGGAACTGGGCAGGGTCCCTGAGTCATCTAGGCTTGAGAACCTTTCAGCTGCCTGACTTGAAGATCAGCACCATTGGTTTGGGGGTTGGGGTTTTTGACATAAGGTCTTATTATGTAGCCCAGGCTGGACTCACATTTGGGGCAGATTCCTCCATCTCAGCCTCCCGAGCCTAGGCTCACAGGTGTGAGCCGCCACAGCCCACGTCCCCCTTTCCGTTCTGTGAGGGACATCGACTCCTGTCATAAGGATCATTTAAAAACACGAAATGTTTTTGTAGAGAAGGCATTGGGAAAGCATGTGGGGTATAGCTGCTCAGTACTGGGGTGTCACCTCAAGCTGTCATGGTCTGACTAGAGGCGGCAGGGACAGAAACCTTGCCAAGTTCTCTGTTCCGCAGGTTGCACTGGGCGTCTACCTGGGTGGCATCGATTAGCTTAGAGCTCTCTGTCAGTGCTTCACAATGTGTGTGTGTGTGTGTGTGTGTGTGTGTGTGTGTGTGTGTGTGTGTGTGTACGTATGCCAGCCTGCGGAGGTCAGAGGCTGGCCTTCATCTTTCTCTTTGATGCTTCATCTTTCCACTATCTGATGCTCCAGGAGTGAGCTCAGGCTGTCAGATTCGCCAGGATCTTAGACCCTGCTTCCGTCCTAAAATCAGTGGCTGCCCGAGAGGAGGGCACAGGCTTTAAGGACATGACACTGGCCTCTGCCCTGGCACACAGGGCCCTCTGCCGATGTGATTGAAGGGGTGCACTCCTGGGAAGGGTGGGGCTTCTTTTCAGTGTTCCTCACACCCTCCTTCAGAGCATGCACGTAGTGCAAACCACACATACCACACAAACCCCACACTCCACACCATGCATAAACACACACACACTCCACATTGCCTTTTCCACTCTCCACCCACCGAGCCCACTCCCTGCACTACAACACCCACACCCACCTCAGCTGCTGTCTTTTTTTTTTTTTTCCTTTGTTTTTTTTTGAGACAGAGTTTCTCTGTGTAGCCCTGTCTGTCCTGGATCTTGCCCTGTAGACCAGGCTGGCCTGGAACTCAGAGATCTGCCTGCCTCTGCCTCCAGAATGCTGGATTAAAGGTGTGTGCCACCACCACCCAGCAGCTGCTAACTTTTTTTAAAAAAAATAATTTAACTTTAGTTTATGTGCATTGGTGTGAAGGTATCAGATCCCCTGGAACTGGGGTTACAGACAGTTGTGAGCTGCCATGTGGGTGCTGGGAATTGAACCCGGCTCCTCTGGAAGAGCAGCCAGTGCTCTTAACCACTGAGCCATCTTTCCAGCCCCCAACTGCTATCTTTTCATCGTGCCTCACACCTGCCCTCAATTCTACAGGATTGCATCCTCTTGGGGTGCCAAAGTCCACTGCCAACCCAGCCCTAGGATCACTCACCTTCAAGCTCACCATGGGCACCACATAGACTTCGTTATTACCTGAGACAGTGAACACTGGTGTCCACGCTGACTACAGCCACGTGGTTTCTGGGCTCCCTAATGCCTGCCGTATCCCTGTCACCCTGTGTCCTTCATGCCCCACACCTCAGGCACTACCCTCTCTACTGATTTTTGTTTGTGTTTTAAGACAGTGTCTTGTGTAGTAGATTCTGATTTCAAACTCAAGATGTGGCTCAGGCTGACTTTGAACCCCTGATCTCTTCCTCCACTCCTTGTATGTTGGACTTACAGGTGTGCACAGCCATAGCCAGACACATGGTGCTGGGGATCAACCAGGACTCTGTGTATGCTAGGTAAGCACCTGACTGACTGACTAGGTAAGCTACATCCTGTCCTGACTCCTGCTCCTTTTATATAGCTTCTAGGCACTGTTGGGGAATACTATTTTAAGGCGTGTTACTTTTGTTTATGTTGCATTTGTTTAACTCAGTGAAGCTGTGTTACTGTGCCTGTCTAAAACACCTGATGGTCTAATGGAGCACTGAATGGTCAATAGCAAGGCAGGAGAAAGGATAGGCGGGGCTGGCAGGCAGAGAGAATCAATAGGAGAAATCTGAAGACAGAGGAGGAGGAGGACATCAGCTACACAGTAAGCCACGGAGTAAGGGTAAGATTTACAGAAGTAAGAGAACGGGAAAAGCCCAGAAGCAAAAGGTAGATGGGATAAGTTAAGGAAAGATGCAAGAAACAAGCCAAGCTAAGGCCAGGCATTCATAATTAAGGATAAGTCTCTATGTGTGATTTATTTGGGAGCTGGGTGGCCGGCCCCCCAAAAAGAGCAAAGACAAACCACAAGGCACCAAGCTGCAAGAGCCAGCTGTCTGCTTCACCCACAGCACACACACACACACACACACACACACACACACCCGTCACCAGGAGACAGTCCTGCCAGCCGATAGCCTGAAGCCTCTGCAGGTTCTACCTGTCCCCATACCTAGCCCCTAGACTCTCCAGTGACCCTTCTGGGGGAGGCATTTGTCACCTTTTCCTTCATCCACTCATCTATTTTTACATGTATGTACTTATTGATACTCTCCAGTCAGCTTTGACAACAAAATCACAGAAAACCAGATGGGAAATGGGTTTACAACCCTCTGCCAGATGGCTGCTGCTTCTGAGAGGTGAGGGCTACAAGAATATCACTCCACCCACTCTGTACTTCTGCCACAACCCAGGGAGTCCTGCTAAGTGTCTCTGCTTTATGCATGAGTAAACTGGGGGACAGAGAGGTGGAACTTAAGAGTCTTAAGACACAGAGTCATGCAGTGGCAGAACTGAGTCTGGAACTAGCCTCTCCCTGAGGCTGGGTTCTCAGATGCATCCCGATTGCAACACCACACTCACTCACATACATACCACAAATACACACTATACACCACACAAACACACAAACCACACAGCACACACATATACCACACACACACACCACGCACAGTACTTCTGGGAAGAGGCGGTCTGTGGGGTGGGGCGGACTGGACAGGGCGGTCCCTGATGAAGGAAGTCCCAACCCGCTGCTGGTGCCCAGAGCAGCGCTGCAGGGTCTGGGTCTGGGTCTGGGCATGGAGGCGGAGCCGCCGCTCTACCCTGTGGCCGGGGCCGCGGGCCCTCAAGGGGATGAGGACCGCCTCGGAGTTCCTGATGGGC